CGACAACTCTCCGAAGAGCTGTCACGTGTTCGTAACACCTTAGTAGCCAACTTAAGGTAGTTACTATAGCTATTAACTCCCTAGAGTATAGGTTCTAATCTGTCCTAATACTAATTATAGAGGAGAAGGTCTCTACTATTAGATTACTTTAAGAAGACACTTATATCTTAATTATTCTACCTATTCCTACTACCCTATTCTATAATAAACTACTAATTATAATCCGGATAGCTACATCTCTATTAGTTAGTGCTATTACTATATTATCTATAATAGTTTATATTCGCTTTTCTTATAGTCTAAGTATAAATAGGTTAATAGTCTTAAGGCTATCTATAGGAATGGCTTTTAGTATATCTACTACCTAGTAGAAAGGTAATAGATAAAATTATTTAAATTTCTTTCCTATCTATGTAATTATACTCTAAAGTAGATTTATTTTAAGGAGGGTGTATATATCTATCTAGAGCTTAATTGCTCTTCTCTAGAACTTGTCCTGTATAATAGTAATATAGGCTTTTACCTCTATTATACTTATTACTACTATACTAAAGGTCCCTATAATTACTTATACCCTAATTCTCTAGACCCTATTAATAGCCTAAACTACTCTAAACTTAACTTTATATATCTATATATTAGAGGTATAGTTAACTACTAGGGTAATAATAAATATAAATAGTTACTAGGCTATAAGGGGTAATAGGCCTTATAGACACTTAAGTTCTATTACTACTTTAAGCCCTTTAAATATAGCTCTTATAATATGTTCTTTATATTTAAGCCTAGTATTTATAATTACTCTAAGGATCTTAATACTATTTCTAGGTTAAATCACCTGCTCTTTAATAGTAAAAGGTTCTTAGTTAGCCTTATAAGGCTTATATATAAAATGAATAATTACTATCTTCTCTACTTTAAAAGTTATACTATTTCTTCTTTCCTAATCTAGTATATTATTAATAACTACTTTAATACCTTTCTAGTTACTCTCTACTATTAGCCCTATAACCTAAGCCGTAAAATCATTAATAAAGGCTATTATACCCCTATAGCTATTAATACGCCTCTATACTAAGTCTGTATTAAAGAAGAGAAAGAGAATTAGAGAAAGGGGTAAGCCCTAGGGTAAGCTAGCCTAGGGTAGAGTTTGTACTTTAGAGCTTTATCCGTTAATCTAAATTAATACTATATAGTCTAAGTAAAAGGCTTCTATTTATTAGTATAGTTCTTCTAGTATACCTTGCGCTCTTATTTTTTAGATTAATCTCTCCTTATAGACTCTATTATATATACCTTTTATGTTAAAGCTAATTAGACTTACAATCCTCCTTCCCTATTAAATAGTGTAAATCTACTCTTATAAGAATATAAGTACTTACTCTACTAACTATTACTTATAGGTACTAAAGTAGTTTATTAAGAGTAGGCTATATATCTCTATAGTGTATAAGATCTATTCTATAATTACAAATTCTAGTACTTTACCTAGTATTACTAGAAGTAAGATTAGCCTCTATACCTTTATAATAGTATAGTCCTCTTTACTTAGCTTTTTAAGTAGAATAATCTTAGTATGCCACTATTAACTAGATAGTAAGCCTTCCTTTAGTAAAGTGTAGAATAGTACTAGAATATAATATTTAATAACTAGCTAGATCTCCTTCTAGATAACTACTAGTAGACTATCCTCTCTAGGCACTTTCTAGGATTTTACTATAAATAGTTAATATTCTATTTCTTCTATTATAATAGCTAGTATTACTATAGGCGCCTTTTATAGTCTTAGTCCTTTATTATTAATAGTTTCTAGTAGTAAAAGAAAGAACTTAACTAGGAGTTTATTTACCTATTCCTTATAGTTTATTATAAATAACCTATCTACTTTAGTAAGCTATAGGACCTTTCTAAATACTACACTATCCCTAGACTTAAGGTATTTTACTACCTTCTAAATATTATTATTATCTGCTAGAAACTCTTTCTAGTGCTTTTTCTTTTATTATCAGATAGTATTATAGTACTATTTTATAGTGCCTTTTACTATTTCTTCTAGCTTTACTATATAGTATCCTGCCTTCTATTCTAAGCGTGTACGGTTTCTCTAGTGTATATAAATGTAATATAGCTATATGAGATCTATTATCTACTATTATTTTATATAGGGTAAAGGCTTGGCTTTTAATATAAGAGAATAGACAGCTTCTAGTATAGCTAATATAAGGGTATTAGTCTTCTACTAAACTATACCTCCTATCCTAATAATATCTAGTATATTTACAATTCTGGCTTTAATATCTTTTTATAGTGCGTTCTTAAGGAATAGTCACTCTTAGTATTATAGTACTAAAATTAATATATTAAATGTAGTATTAATTATATAGTAGTCTAACCTATACTCTATACTATATATTACACACTTAACTATGGCTTCCTTTAACTCTTCTAAGGCTAGGATCAAGTTAATAGTTGTCTTATACTCACTATTATACTAAGTCTTAGTACCCCTAGGGAGTAGGCTACTAAGAGAGAACTTACTTATTAAGTTAATAATTAGATCTATCTCTCCTTACCTCTCTAAGGATATATTATCCCCTCCCTAAAGCTAGTTATATTAGTTAAAGTCTCCTATAATTACTACTTCTACCTCTATTCTAGCTTTCTATCTAGTCTCTATAATAGCTTTATACAACTTATTATATATATCTTATAAGGCCTAGGGGTTACATCCAGGTATATATATAAATACTACTAGGACTATACAACTTAGGAGTTATACTACTATAGCTATTAAGTCTAGGGATTCTATTATTACTTACTCTACCTTAACGTCCTTATTTATCTAGAGTATATTCTAGATTACCTATCTTCCATCTCTATACGTTATTAGGACCATCTTAGTCTATTTATAGTAGCTTATTAAGGTTATTAGAAGTCGGCCTTAGATTCTCTATACTAAGGGCTCCTAGATCGCTAGTACTATAGTATCCTAGATCTTATCATTATTTATTAAACTATTATGTACTATACCTTATTTCCTTATATTTAATTAAAGGATATAAAGTGTCCTACTTATACTAAAATAAGTAGAGTTTCTAGTAGCTTCTACTAAATACTTTATAAGGCCTACTATATATAGCACACTTCGCGATTATCTTAATATAGGCGCTATAGTAATGGCCCTCTTTTACGTATTTACTATATATCTATATCTTAGTGTATTAATAAGCTTTATAGTTAGTGATTTCTTGGCAGTTATAGTATTACTTAGGGCATTCTTATTATTTAAAGACTTTTATATAGCCTAATTCTCCTCTAGTAGAAAAGAATCCTTTATTAAGAAAGCGCTACACATCTAACCTTTTACTTAGGTATACTATTATAGATCTATATACTTTTAGGATTTCTTAATTACTTAGCTAAGCTACTTTTATAACCTAGGTATTATTCTCCTTACCTAATACTTTAATAGCCTTAACTTAAATATTCCCTACCTTATCTAATACTATAATATAGTTAACACTATCTACCTTAATAGGGTAGAGGTTATCTTACATTATCTACACGCCTTTAGCCAGGCTTAACTCTAGTATATACTTTACTTTTATATATTTAACTTTATTTCTACAAGTAACTCTAATATAATATAGATTCCTTAGATCTTTTATTACTACTTAGTAGTACTATAATAATCTATCTTACTTAGCCTAGATCCTACTCTCTACTACTATTTAAATCGCGCTAGTAGATATCTAGTCCCTAGCTTCTTATTCTACCCTTAAGGTGTTAATTATATAATAAAGTATAGTAGTAAACATAGATAGTATAGTATATATAAAAGAAAGCATCTAAATATTACTTAACTAGCTAGTAGAAGAAGTGCGTGTAATATTAGTATAGGATAGACTAGAGCTACTCTATCCTAAGTATAGAACTATTATAGCTTTTACTATTTCCTACTTAGTCTAATATAACTTATCCTTAATCACTTAAAGCTTGTCCTTAACCTAGCCTAGCTTAGCCTTTATTACCTTATTATATACTTCTTATTTTATTTATACTTTAAGGAGGATTTTAAGAATACTAGTTTACTTATTTATCTACTTATAAAGTGTCTATAATATTACCTCCTCTCCTCCTATCTTATTATTTTATATACCACTAGTTATCACGATCCGAGAAACACTTACTAGGTACTTTCTAGAGGATAGAAGTATAGTATTAATTAATACTAGATTCTCTTTATTCTATCTTGCCTTTATACTTAGCTTTTATAATTATCACTATTAGTAACTACTACTTTCCTCTCCCTTAGACATAACCATAATTACATCTTAAGCTTTAACTTCTATTTTAGGGGTCTTAAGACGTACCGCTATTAGGTTCACTAGTATCACGTTATTCAACCTGCAGTTCCACCTAAATCCAACTATAACAAAGCCACAAAGAATATTCCATTGAAGATACAGTCACTTGCACGGCCGGCTTCCCCTGCCCCGAATTTTCAGACTTACTAGTGACCAGGGTCCTTGGCCCATTACCCAAATGCAGCTAAGTGAAAGCTACCCAGTCGCAGCCACACCTGTGGCTGATAATGTCTGAATTGCAGCCTTAGGTTCTGAACAGTTCGTATGTAACGTGATCACGTTGTCTCCCTTACAGAGTAAAGAGCTGCTGACAAAGCGACCATCTTCCAGGAAGAAAACCCCGCTTTTGATTCCAAATAGGTGTTTTATCCACCGTTAATTTGGAAGTGTGACTATAAGTATAAACATCGAGTTTCAGTCGAAAAGCTGTCTGAATCCCATCCATTCCCTTCTTATCTTCTTCACATTATGGCCTCTGTAACGCAGTGTATCTCAGGGAACTCAAGTGGCGGGAATACCAATGGCCGATGTGGTCGACTGGTAATTATCGGTTCGTTCCCTTTGATTGACTAGTTGCATGAGCATATGCTGAGATTAAGATCAGGTGGTGGTTCAGCTGCCTTTGCAGCGGCTACTGCAGCTGCTCCCGAAGCCGCCAGTATTACAATAGTTAATAGCGTCCTACCAATGGGAGGTTGCTGTGTGAATGTCGGCTGCGGTAAGTGTGATGCTCATCATTGAATAGGCTTTTCAATAATGAGGATTCTTACCATGTTCATAGTTCCTTCAAAATTTCTCATCCAAGCAGCGCACGTTACCAGCCCTCACAACAACTGCCCACCATTTCAAGGGATACGCAACGTCTTTGAAAGGGTGACTGACTTCGAGGCGCTTACGGCACAGAACCGTGCGCTGGTTCGGGACCTTCGGCAGGAAAAGTATGCTAAGGTTATCGCAAACTTAGATAATGTCGAGTACATTGAAGGGTTTGGGAAACTTGTCCGGAGTGCCGGTCAACTAGCTGTGGAAGTCCGCCGTGGCCTTGAAGACCAGACGCCTTTTCAAATCTTGCCCGCGGATCGTGTCATCATTGCCTCTGGAGTCCGCACCAGACTTCCCAGTCATCTGGTTGACGACCTCACCAGGATTGACTATCTGACCAATGAAACCGCATACTTCGAGGCGAAACGACCGGACTCGCTCATCGTACTTGGAGGTGGTTATATCGCACTAGAAGCAGCTCAAATGTTTTCCCGGCTGGGATCGAAAGTCACGGTCGTACAGCGATCTGAAAATGTGCTTTCTAGCCTCGAACATGACATAAGTAACGGTTTGAAGGAATGTTTGACAGGAGAAGGTATTAATGTTCAGGTGGGCATTGATATCACTTCAGTAATATCTGATGGAGATAGAGTCATTGTTAGAGGTATTTCTAGGGGAAAAGAGCAGACATTCATGGCATCAAGGCTTTTCCTCGCCGCCGGTCGGTGTGCTAATACTGCACACATCTCTGATCTTCCGATCAAGTTGGCTAGCACAGCGCATGGTGGATTTGTTGTTTCAAACACCCTGGAAACCTCGATCCCTGGGGTATACGCCGCTGGCGATTGTGTTGCCGATTCCCCGCAGTTCGTTTATACTGCTGCAGCGGAAGGAAAGCTCGCTGCACTCAACGCTCTGAGAACAATCAATAATCGAGAGCCGGAGAAAATCGACTATTCAGTCGTGCCGTGGGTCGTATTTACTTCTCCAGCTGTTGCAGGCGTCGGTGTTAGTCTCATTGACGCTCGTGCTAAGGGCATTGACGCGGAAGCATCGTCTTTCCCGCTGAACCTTCTTCCTCGCGCTCTCGTACAGCAAAGCACACAGGGCTTCGTAACGCTGGTGCGAGATAAGAGTGACGACCGGATCGTGGGTGCCTTTGTTCTGGCAGAAGAGGGAGGAGAACTTGTAATGGAAGCAGCACTCTCCGTGCGTTACCATGTCAAGGCCAAAGACCTGGCGGGGATGTTTCATCCATATCTTACGTGGAATGAGGCTTGGAAGCTTGCTGCATTGGGTTTTGATAAGGATGTGAAAACCTTAAGTTGCTGCGCAACGTGAATCTTGACTTGTTTCTTCTAAATCAAATACCTTATAGATAGAGATAGTTGAAGTAAATTTTACAATTCTGAATACAATTTCAGAGTAATAGATCAGGTCACATCTTATTTGAAAGCTTACGCCCCGAGGTCACTAATGGATCCAAAAGCCACATATGATCAATGGATGGGCATTGGTACCTTTTAAAAGTAGGTACTCATATGTTTATGCTGTTAGATACAGATTACATTGGATTGTGCTACACTTGTAATAAAAAGCTTCCTACTGAAGCAACATGCCAAAAACTGTGGCACCTAGCTGCACAGCCCTTTGCTGATCAAGAATCGTCCCTGTTATCTCCGGATGAGCCTGTACCCAGGAGTCTGCGATTGTTCGGCTGACAAAGAAGTTTACATACTCGCAGCAAACATCCGCAGCAGCGCCTGTGTGAGACGCCGTTCCAACGAAAACAACGGTTTCGGGGGGGTCCCAGCTAACCCGTTGCTGGTGGAAGATAATACAAATTTCGTCGCCAGACTCTGTCCTTGAGTGCATTGTTGCGTCGCTGTGAACCATAGGCGGGATTCCGAGAGCATCTATCGCGCACATGGCAAATACTGCTACCCCGCTTTGCAGTTCGACACGATGACGCGTTGGTCTGATTGAGAACGGATAGGCAGCGATAATGTTCCTGTGCTTATCCATTCGTATATAATCGTGATCGTGCAATGCACTCAATATCTCATATCCTGTTTTACCGGAGTCCGCCGCAATGTCATCGATGATATTGCTTGCAGGGAGGCGTCCAGACTCACTTAGCGAGCTTAGGATTGCGACTTGTATTGCACGCAAGCCTTGCTCATCGGGCGCGCAACGACTTTGCAAGAGAGAATTGAGGGCAGGTGGTAATCCATTGTCGTTGCAGCCATAGTGCTCGCAATGTTCCTATTGGATTGGTCAGATTTCTCTTAATTGTTGACCTAATTAGGATTGGACTGCCAACAGTCATGATCGAATGCGCTTGTCCTGAGCTGGGTAACATCAAAGACCGTGAGTCGAGATCAAGAAAATGCCCAGCGAGAGTACAAATTTTCTCGAAGACGATTGCGAGCAGGCTATGGATGAGGACGCAATTCCGCCCCACATTTCCACGGGCCAGCTGTAACCAGAAAGATCAGGCTCGATCAGGCTGCATTCAAGTTATTACCTTGCGCTTAACCGTATTTGGACAGTAGGCCCCCCAAATATTTTTGACTTCTTACGACCAGGGATTCTCGGCCTACTGTCCAAATACGGTTAAGCGCAAGGTACCCTAATGGTACCCATCGACCAAGCCACGCCGCTCATCAAGTGCCTCTTTCGAAAGCTCCAGATATATATTAAGTTACAACAACATGCTATAGTAATTCTCGTCGCCCCTACAGCGCCTCATCTTCCAAAATATGGCCCCGAATCTCGCTCCCTCCTAGTATGATCTCATTCGTGATATGCTACTTGACCAGAAACTCAAGACTCGCGAAATGGCCGACGCTGCTAGATGTAGTGAGCGTTCGATTAAAGCAATACGCTCAAATCTGCGTTACTTTAGGTCTACCAAGGCCCCCCCTAAATGGCGGGGGGGGATGTCGGTCTATCACGCTACAGATGCTTGAAGTTTTAAAGGAGCATCTCCTTGAGAAGCCTGAGCTATACCTAGAGGAGATGGAAGTCTTCTTATAGGACGAATTCGACGTCCTCGTATCGCTATCTAGCATTAGCAGGGCACTACGGTCAATTAATTAGTCCAAGAAAACAGCTCGCCGAGTGGCTAAGGAACGCAACCCAGATCTACGAGATCTATATCTTCACAACCTATCACCCTTTCGCTTATACCACCTCGTATACGTTGACGAGTCTGGATGCGATAAACTGATTGGGTTTAGAAAGACAGGCTGGTCTCCGTTTTGTGTCACTCCTGTTCAGATTGCTAAGCTATACCGGGGCCGGCGATACCAAATCTTGCCAGCCTACTTACAGGACGGAATCGTTCTATCTCGTGTGTTCCAGGGTACAACGGAAGGCGACGTCTTTGAAGACTTTATCGAACAGCTCCTCCCGCATTGTGGTAGGTGGCTAGAACCAAAGTCTGTAATTGTAATGGACAACGCATCCTTCCATCGAACAGAACGCATTGAGCAGCTGTGCTATGAAGCGGGAGTACTAACCCAGATATTGAGGCCCCAAAGGAACCGGAAACACCTTATCCTGAGCGAGCTATTGATAGTGTCGAAGTGTGCGGCTCCATTTCTCATTCGGGATCGCCTGGGTCAGTATCTTCCTGCATAAATCCGAGATGCCCCTCTTACGAGACCAATGCTACGGACATTGATTCTTTGGACATGGTCATCCATCTTCCTTTCACAAAGCGTGCAGTTCTTGATGATGGGCCTCAGTTACTGGAACATGTCCTTGTGGCACTTGATAGGGCGTATGATGACAGACGCGCTCCCACATCCTGTTTCCCAGGCGTTTTGGATGAGGCCCATACAACAAGTGACCACGCAATATTTGTGAAGATTATGACCAGCATTACAGAGAATTGGGCCAAATGCAATCGCTTGATTGCAAGGCCTGCCTTAGAGGTGGCGCAGGAGAGACTCGCAGAAGTTGGGCGGGACAGTTCGGGCCGCACGAGGGGCCAATGCCAGATGAGTATAACCCGTGGAGACCGCACTAAATCAGACCACCTAAGGCATACCATCGCTTGCCGTGATAGGAGAGAATTGTCGGAAATAGACCTGCGAGATATCTTATCGGAGCCGCTTGAGCTCATGGGCGAGTTCAATGACGAAATCGATTACGAGGATGCAATCAAGCGTATTGAAAAGGAGAAGGCTAACGATACAAGGGCCCAACTCCGTCGAATGTGGAAAGAGACGTACTACTGGCCTATGGTCCAGCAACGAGCCAAGATGATTGGACCACTTCCTAATGCGTCCGGACCGAGAAGTGAAATCACATCGCACGAGAAACAGGCCGTAAAGAAACTTGTAGCCGCCATGGGATACAGCCAAAGCCGGAGCAATATCTTTAAATGGACTTCCTATTTGAAACTTCTGTCTAATTTGAGGGAGAAAGGGGTAACGTCCTTTTTACTTTACTGGACTAGTGAGTTCAAGAATTATTTCTTTTAACATGCTAAGGACCTTGATTTATTACTTTCCTAGAATAAAGTTTATAACTTTCCTCTTTATTAGCTTTACCTAAGGATTATAGCTAAAGAAGTAGGTGACTTCTCTAGAAAAAGTAATATTAAAGAATAGTGGATCTATAATAGACTTTACGCTTTATAAAATATATACTAGGGCAATTATCTTAGCTTTTAGGAGTAAGACTTAGTAGAGTGTAAGGATTTCTTGGCTAACTATAGCTTAAAGCCTACTTTAGCGAAATTAAATATACACGTTCTCTACTATAGTATTAAAGGCTAACTAGACTATAATAAGTCTATCTATATTAGTCTAGTGCCTTATAAAGGTAGGTTAAATAAAAGGACTTTAAGTAATAAAACTATCTTAACTAAACTCCTTACTACTACCCTATTAGTTACTATTTCTCCTAGAGACTTCCTTAGTATCTTTTTAGGACGGCTTTACTATATAGATTAAAAACTAGTAAGAGCTATTAGTAGGCTAGTTTTAAATCTTTAGTTAGATTATTTAGAGGTAATAGGAAAGCTTAATAAAATTAAGGTAGTAAAGGGTAGCGAGGTTAGTAATGTATATCTTATATAGGAAGGGGTACACGAGGTAAAGAGAGGGAAGTCCTCTAACTAGTATTTAAGGATTTTAGTTATTACTATATGGTATATTATACTATTTAACTAACTTATTTATTTTTACTTAGGAGTAGGTATACTACCTTGGCATGACGCCTCTAGAGGACTTAATAGCCTAAGACGGGTATAACGCTTCTAGTAAGTTTAATAAATTAGATAAGTGTATTTTAAGATAGGTGAATATTACTATGTTCAGCTTTAATAGAAAGTTAAGATTACGCAGGGGCTGATTTCCAACTTGCATGCACAGCTATACAAACACCTCTATAATTAGGTACCCCTCGGTAAAGCTCGACGGTGCCGTAGTGACTCTTGGTACAGTTTTTGCCCATAAACGAGTCCCTGACAGCTGCGATGTTCAGATCAGCCGCAGGGCTACTGCTGAAGGTCACTTGTCCCTTGCTAGAAGTTACTAAGCTGTGGGTTCTAGGCTCAATCTGCTGACAAACGCTCCAGCCAGGAAGTCAACACATGCGGAAACTCAACTTCTTGGGTTAGGTACTAGCAGGGCTCTCGTTGCGCGCTTATATACGGTTATCATCCAAGTCAAGGTTAATAGTGCTCGAATATACTATAATTATTCTCCACATCTTATCTGTAGCTAGCTGGCACCTCGCATTGCACTGAGCTGGGCTCTCTGCGTGAAGGAGGGAGTCTTTGAACACTACAATGCAAACAAAGGACACTATCGCTGCCGCGAAATTGCCAAAGCCTTGCCTAGGCCAGACAATTAGCTTGGCTATATACCTATATACTAGTGAAGGCAACTGGCTCACATTACAAAGACGGAGTTCATTAACATGCCACGCCATTTGACGGTAGCGAATTTAGAGGTGATAATAGATAATAGAGGATAATCGCCTCTGACTCTAATCCCTATAAAAACCCTACTAAAAGATTAGAGGTCCTAGTAGAGAAAGTGAAGGTCTAGTGCTAGTGATAGCTTGTCTAAAAGTACTTATAATAATAATAACTAGCTTAATTCCATATATATTTTTTCTCCCGAGCCTGTTAGCAAGCTATCTGAAAAGGACCTGTCTAATAACTATACCTGTAGTCGTGGAAAGCTTAATTGCTATATCTGCCTAGGTAGGAATAGTATAAGACTGGAAATGGGATAGCCTAATTATAATAGATATAACTAGCTAAAATAATATACTTATAGTAAAGAGGTTTAAAATTATTAAAAGTAAAAGAAAAAAAAAGTCTATAAAGGTTTTAATTAAATATATTTATATATAACTCTTACTATTATTTATTTATTTTTTACTTAAGGTATAACCTATTCCTTAATATATTCCTTATTATTTAAATAAAGAGCTATTTACAAATATACCCCTTATTAATAGTCTAATTATAATTAGTATTATTAAATGTGCCCTCTATTAATAGTCTAGTTATAGTTAATATTATTACTTAAGTTATATATAGTAGATTCCACTAGTTCTTTAACTATATTAGGCTTAGTGCAATCTGTAACCCTTATAAATTACTACTATTAAAGTTTATAAAGAATTACATATAAGTAAAGCGAGCATTTCTCGTCTAGTAAAACTATTATATATTAGTATCTTTATTAGAGATTTACTACTTATATATCTATAGTATATAAATAAGATTATATTATATTAGAAGGAGTTAAAGGAAAAAGAAGAAAGAGAGAAAGTAAATAAAAAGAAGAAGAAAAGAGAAAAAAAAGAATAAATATTATAATAATAGTAATGGAAAAGAAGAAAGAGAAAGAATAGTTATTAGAGGTTTATAATAGCTTTACTACTTTACTTAAGTAGTTTTAATTATAACTAGTACTTTAACTATTCTCTTATTATTTATTATTTATTTTTCTTTTATAGTATACTCTCTTTTAAGGAAATTAGCTTTATAATAATATTATTAAAGTTATAGTCTTAAATATCCCTTTTATTATTTTATTTATTATATAATTTAATTAGGTAAAATAGCTTTATAATTATATTATTAAAGTTATAATCTTAAGTATTAACTTTTAAGTATTTTTATTTTTATAAAGAAAAAGGCCCTTTTAATTTAATTACCTCTTTACTACTAATAACTTATATTTATTTTACTAGTAACTTTTTATAAGTTTATAATAAAGACCTAATATTAATATTTTAATATAGGTTTTATATATTTTTAGAATATAAGTAGCTCTTCTATTTAATTAAATAGTATTAAGTCTATTTTATCTCCTTTTTATAGTTTAAAATAGCTTTAACCTTATATATATTATTTTTAATAAAAGAGTTCTTCTTTAAAGATACTAGTACTTTATTCTTTTACTAATAATATAGCTCTAGATTAGAAATAAAGAAAGTTAGATAGATTTATATAATAAAAAGGAATTAAAGCTAGTAAGCTAGTCTTAGACTTATTAAAAGGATAGTATTTAAAGAATATTTAACTATTATATTATAAGTATTTGAGATTTATATTATATTATATTAATATAGTCTAAAAACTTATATTAATATTAGATTATACTATATTATATATTATATAATATATATATTAATTAAAGGAGTATTAGTATAATTAAAAGTAACTTAAAAGTATTACTAGAAAGTATTACTATTTTATATAATTAATTATATAATAAAATTGAAAAAGTATTACTAGAAACTATTATATTATTAATAATGTAAAACTTTATATATACTTATAAAAATTAGTTATCTCCTTAAAGAAATTAAATTTAACTATTAAAGTTATAATTAAAGTAAGTTATATATCCTTTAATAATAATATTACCTTTTTTAAGTAAAGTATTATTATATTAATATACTTAAAAAGTATATTAAAAGTCTTTTCTATAGTAATTTAAAGAGTATTAAATACCTTCTAGTTAACTTATAATCCTTTTAATTATATTTAAAACCTTTATAAAATACTATGTTTTTAGCTAGTAAAAGGGATCTTTAATTATTACTTATAAAAGATATGGAATTTAAGTCTTAGTTTAAGTATTTAAATCCTTTAAGAAGATATTAAATTTATGCTATCTCTTTTATAGCTTCTAATAGAGTTATATATTCTAATTTAGTCTCTAATTAAGTTATAATAGTTTAATATTTAGATTATTATAATTTTAGTCTATTAATAAAAAAGTAATTACTTTAGTAACTTTACTAGTTAGTTAATAAGTTATATAATCTCTAGTATAATTTATATTATTAAATATATAAATATCTAGCTTAGAAGTAGATGAACTTAAACTTTTATAAGTAATTAAGAGATATTATATACCTTTAAAGTATTATAGTACTTTCTTTATTACTTTTATATATATTAATATAGAATTAACTAGGAAATAAGATAAAACTAATATTATAATAGAGATATTTAGCCTTATTTAAGTTACTAAATAATTAATATACTCTACTAATAATTAATAGTATTTAATCTTCTTGAAAATTATAACTCTTTTATATAAGATAAAAGTATTAATTAAATCTAGATTAAATAATATTAAAATAAGTAAGATTTACTAAGTAATAAACTTAATAATACTAGTAAAGGTTTAATTATAGTTAATACTATATCTTTACTTATATCCTTTAATTATAAAGTAAACTTTCTATTAAATAGATTTACTATTTATATTTTACTTAATTTTAAATACTTCCCTCCTGGCTGCCATCAGCAGACTATGCATCTGCACACAGTTGGGAGAACAGGAAAAAGCCCCTGCCTGCCAGTACGTTGCTGACAACTATAACTCGCTCAATAGGACCCCCCTCAGATATTCAATCGTCTCAGCTCGACCCCGACTCTCTGCCCCGTGCACAGCGAAACCGTCCGGCACATGAGGTGGCACCACCTGAGCAGCAGCTAACCAGCGGAGCGGACACCGCTCTCACAGTGCCAAACGGTGCTTGGGCCGTGCTAGGCAGTATTGCCGGCCCAGAACCCGTTGCCGAACTGTGGTCTTGTCTTCTTTCGCAAAGAAGGTTGGATATGGCTCCTGGTCGAGAACACGCCCTCGCGATCCCAGAACTTTTGGAGAACAGCATCGAAGGCCAGCTGGAGAGATTTCAGCTTCAGCTCCAGAGGGGGAACAAAACTGTCGCGGGGAAGCATCAACTACTCTCCCAAGTTCCGTGGCGATTATTCCTCGCAAACGTTTATATCTTATACGAGCAGGAGAGGGAAGCACGACAGACGAGAAAGCGAGTGAGGAAAGATCGCTGGCGCCCGAAAACTCCGAGCGCACGTCAAGCCACAGTGCTTGTTCTGTTTGTAGACAACCTCCTTCCTGTATTGCTGACTGGTATCACCATCACTCGTCAGGAAGCTGAGGCCAAGTTTGAGCGATGGTTACCACTCGGAAAGCGATGGGCCAAACTTGTGCAGGCCTATGGGCCTGCTATCCTCTTACTTATACCTTATAGTCTGACTAATGAAGGGTGAGTTCATTGCAGAACCTCCCTCAACATAGGGCCATCTAAAGACCGTCATATCTACAGGCTTCGCACTACAGGACTCTCTGCGGTAGACGATGCCGTAAGATATCTGAATTCCTATAGACCGTCTCTCGGGGCCGATATTCATAACTTGACGCCTTTTCTTTACTCGATAATTGAAGATCGGCCATTACCAGATCAAAAGCTGCATCTCGAACTGCTGATCGAGAGCCAAGTTGCATCTGAAGAGCATGCAACACAACCGCTGGAAGAACTATTCAAATTCACTGATAAGTACTCATACTTTATGAGCGAGGCTGCTCCTGATGCCTATCAGTCCACTTTCGACGATTTCATCTCCTGGACGACACCATAAGAACAGCTTAACAGTAACACGATCATCCCTGGCCAACTCGTCACGCGGATGAATGTATCGGCTTGACTAGAGGACTAACACCTTTTACCAGCTATGGACCCTTCCGAAATGGACTCTTAGACATTGAGTTTTCCGTTCAGTAACTAGATCACTGAGTTTAATGAATTTATGTACTTCCGGTCTCAAATATCATCCAAGAAATATGCTGTAGTCACCCCACTCACCACTGCCCCAACCAGCCCCGACCACTAACCCTTTGCCCGCTAACTCTCTGTCCCCTAACCCTTTGTCCCATAATCCTTTGTCCTATAATCCTTTGTCCCATAATCCTTTGTCCCATAATCCTTTGTCCCATAACACTGTTGACTACTATCCCGTTGGCCATTATCCCATTGACCACTAACTCTTTGTCTATTAACGCCCTACCTGTCGGTAGTAGCTTACGTTCATGATGGCGCTTACACACACACACACAATTTATTAACGCCCGGCGGTTTACCGAAAGGGCAACTATTACTAATGTACAATTACAATTCTTAAACTAACTCTATGTCTCCTTAAGCCCCTAAATTGTCTATTTCCGACTTATGTCCTCTCTTATCTGTCTTTCTACTACGGATTCTCGTGAGTTAGTATTTGTTAGTAGGCTAGCTTAAAGGCCATTCTCTAAGTGTTTAGCGTCCTATCGTTAGCGGCTAAAGCGGTGCCTGCGGTCCTAGTACAAGGTGATTAGTATTAATAGGGTTAGTAGTTGTAGGACTACGATATATCTTCTTAAGGTTAGTTAGCGTTAAGTCGGCCTGTAGTTATTACAAAACGTATCGTTACGTAAACTACTTTTATGTTTAGCGACTAGTTAGTGTTATCTAATAGCGATCTCCCTCTTAGGTAAAAAGATATATTACTTCTATAAATGTCTGTACATTAGAGCATCTTTAATTAGTATGCCGTCTACCTAGTGTATTAGAAGAGGAAGTGGTCTACGGTCTCCCTTACTTGCCTGTACGTACATTAGCCTAACTCTACCGCATTAATACGGTAAAGATACCCGTTTAATCGTGCTATACCTGTCTAAAGCTAGGCTAATACGCTAGCTTCTTTTCGTGTTAGTTAATTGTAGAGCTATCGCGTGTGTTAGCCTAGGAGTGTTGTGTTAACCCTTTTAGAGTGTTTTCTAACGTTCTCTAGTAGTGTCTTAGTTATGTCTCGTTTAGTTCGTGTAATTCTAAGGGTTGTAGACCGTATATTTGGTAATTGTATTTACGGCGCCGCTCCTTGTCGGGTCGCTGCCTTCGCTTTCTCTTTAGCGAGCTTTAGGAGTTCGTTCTCCTTGTATAATAGGAGCTACGCGACCTTTAGCGTATTTCCTTCTAGCCGCATTGCTCTAATGGTCTTGTAGAAGCGACAGACCTGTCCTTGACCAGATTGTTGCCAGGGCTTTCTAATTATAAGCGCGGCAGACTTGCTCCTTGTTAGCAGTACAATGTTCCGGTATCTAAGCCTTAGTAGCTGACTTAAGGCGGTTGCCATGGCCGTCAACTCCCTAGAGTATAGGTTCTGATCTGTCCTAATACTGATTGTAGAGGAGAAGGTCTCTACTATTAGACTGCTGTAGAAAGACGCTTATATCTTAATTACTCTACCTATTCCTACTACCCTATTCCGTAACGAACTACTAACTGTAATCCGGATAGCCGCATCTCTGTTAGTTAGTGCTGTTACTACGTCGTCTGTAATAGTCTGTGTTCGCTTTTCCTATAGTCTAAGTGTAAACGGTTTAATAGTTTTGAGGCTATCTATAAGAACGGCTTTTAGTACGTCCGCTACCTAGTAGAAGGGTGATAGGTAGAATCGTTTAAACTTCTTCCCTATCCGTACGACCGTACTCTAAAGCGGATTAGTTTTAGGGAGGGTGTACATGTCTGTCTAGAGCTTAATCGCTCTTCTCTAGAACCTGTCTTGTGTAGTAGCGATGTAGGCTTCTGCCTCTACTACACTCGTTACTACCGTACTAAAGGTCCCTACGATTACTTGTGCCCTAATTCTCTAGACCTTATTAATAGCCTAAACCGCTCTAAACTTAACTTTGTACATCTATACGTTAGAGGCGTAGTCGACTACTAGGGCGACAGTAGACGTGAACAGTTGCCGGGCCGTAAGGGGTGACAGGCCTTATAGACGCTTAAGTTCTATTACTACTTTAAGCCCTTTAGATGCGGCTCTCGCGATGTGTTCTTTGTATTTAAGCCTAGTATCTATAATTACTCCAAGGATCTTAACGCTACTCCTAGGTCGAACTACCTGCTCTTTAATAGTAAAAGGTTCCTAGTCGGCCTTGTAAGGCTTGCGCGTAAAATGAATAATTGCCGTCTTCTCTGCTTTAAAAGTCGTACCGCTTCTCCTTTCCTAATCTAGCGTATCGTTAATAACTACTTTAATGCCTTCCTAGTTACTCTCTACTATTAGCCCTGTAACCTAAGCCGTAAAATTATTAACGAAGGCTATCGCACCCTTACGGCTGTTAATGCGCCTCTATACTAAGTCTGTATTAAAGAAGAGAAAGAGAATTAGAGAGAGGGGCGAGCCCTAGGGTAAGCTAGCCTAGGGTAGGGTTTGCGCTTTAGAGCTTTGTCTGTTAATCTAAATAGACGCTGTACGGTCTAAGTAAAAGGCTTCTGTCTATTAGTACAGTTCTTCTAGTATGCCTCGCGCTCTTATTCTTTAGATTAATCTCTCCTTACAGATACTGTTGTATGTACCTTTTACGTTAAAGCTAATTAGACTTACAATCCTCCTTTCCTGCTAGGTAGTGTAAATCTGCTCTTATAAGAATACAAGTACTTGCTCTACTAACCGTTACTTATAGGCGCTAAAGTAGTTTGTTAGGAGTAGGCTATACGTCTCTATAGCGTGTAAGATCTGTTCTGTAATTACAGATTCTAGTACTTTGCCTAGCGTTACTAAGAGCGAGATTAGCCTCTATGCCTTTATAATAGTGTAGTCCTCCTTGCCTAGCTTTTTAAGCAGAATAATCTTAGTATACTACTATTAACTAGGTAGTAAGCCTTCTTTTAGCAAAGCGTAGAACAGTACTAGAACATGATGCTTAATAACTAGCCAGATCTCCTTCTAGATAGCTACTAGTAGGCTATCCTTTCTAGGCGCTTTCTAGGATTTCGCTACAAATAGCTAACGTTCTGTTTCTTCTATTATAATAGCCGGCATTACTATAGGCGCCCTTTACGGTCTTAGTCCTTTATTATTAATAGTCTCTAGTAGTAGAGGGAAGAACTTAGCTAGGAGTTTATCTGCCTGTTCCTTGTAGTTTGTTATAGACGACCTGTCTACTTTAGTAATCTGTAGGACCTTTCTAAATACTGTACTATCCCCGGACTTAAGGTATTTTGCCGCCTTTTAAATGTTGTTGTTATCTGCTAGGAACTCCTTCTAGTGCTTTTTCTTCTGTTGTTAGATAGTATCGTAGTATTGTTTTGTAGCGCCTTTTACTATTTCTTTAAGCTCTGTTATTTAATGTCTTGCTCTCTGTTCTAATCGTATACGGTTTCTCTAGTGCGTGTAAATATAACGTAGCTACGTAAGATCTGTCGTCTACTATTACTTTGTATAGGGTAAGGGCTTGGCTTTTAGTATAAGAGAATAGACGGCATCTAACACGGCTAACATAAGGGTATTAGTCTTCTACTAAACTGTGCCTCCTATCCTAATAGCATCTAGTGTGTTTATAATTCTGGCTTTAATATCTTTCTATAGCGTGTTCTTAAGGAGTAGTCGCTCTTAGTATTACGGTGCCGGAATCGATACATTAAATGTAGTGTCGATCGTGTAGTAGTCTAACCTATGTTCTGTACTATATATCGTACACTTAACCGTAGCTTTCTTTAACTCTTCTAAGGCTAGGACGAGGTCGATAGTTGTCTCGTGCTTACTATTATGCCAAGTCTTGGTACCTTTAGAGAGTAGGCTACTAAGAGAGAACTCGCTTATTAGGTCGATGATTAGGTCTGCCTCTCCTTACCTCTCTAAGGACACATTATCCCCTCCCTATAGCTAGTCGTGCTAGTTAAAGTCTCTTATAATCGCTACTTCTACCTTTATTCCTGCTTTCTGTCTAGTCTCTATAATAGCTTTACGTAACTTGTTACATGTATTTTATAGGGCCTAGGGGTCGTATCTAGGTATATAAACAGATGCTACCAGGACTATGCGACTCGGGAGTTACACTACTACGGCTATTAAGTCTAGGGATTCTATTGTTACTTACTCTGCCTTAACGTCCTTGTTTATCTAGAGTATACTCTGGATTGCCTATCTTCTATCTCTGTACGTCATTAGGACCATCTTAGTCTATTTATAGTAGCTTATTAGGGTTGTTAGGAGTCGGCCTTAGATTCTCTGCGCTAAGGGCTCTTAGATCGCTAGTACTATAGCGTCCCGGATCTTGTTGTCGTTTATTAAACTGTCGTGTACTACGCCTTGTTTTCTTATATTTAGTTAAAGGATACAAAGTGTCTTACTTATGCTAAGATAGGTAGAGTTTCTGGCAGCTTCTGCTACATGCTTTGTAGGGCCTACTATATACGGCACACTTTGTAATTGTCTTAATATAGGCACTATAGTAATAGCCCTCTTTCGCGTATTTACTACATATCTGTGTCTTAGTGTATTAATAAGCTTTATAGTCGGTAATTTCCTGGTAGTTATAGTATTACTTAGGGCGTTCTCGTCGTTTAAAGACTTTTGTATAGCCTGATTCTCTTCTAGTAGAAAAGAATCCTTTGTTAAGAAAGCGCTACGCGTCTAACCTTTTACTTAGGTATACTACTATAGATCTGTATGCTTTTAGGATTTCTCGATTACTTAACTAAGCTACTTTCGTAACCCGGGTGTTATTCTCCTTACCTAACGCTTTAGCGGCCTTAGCTCGAACATTCCCTGCCTTGTCTAACACTATAGTACGGTTAACGCTGTCTACTCTAATAAGGTAGAGGTTATCTCGCATTATCCGCGCGCCTTTAGCCAGGCTTAACTCTAGTACGCGTTTCACTTTTGTATGTTCGACTTTATTTTTGTAGGTAACTCTAATGTGATGTAGATTCCTTAGATCTTTTGTTACTACTTAGTAGCGCTATAACGATCTATCTTACTCGGCCCGGATCCCGCTTTCTACTACTGTTTAAATCGCGCTAGCGGATATCTAGTCCCTAGCTTCTTGTTCTACCCTTAAGGTGTCGATCGTATAGTAGAGTGTAGTAGTAAGCGTAGATAGTGTAGTATACATAGAAGAGAGCGTCTAAACATTACTTAGCTAGCTAGTAAGAGGAGTGCGTGTAACATCGGTATAGGATAGGCTAGGGCTACTCTGTCCTAAGTGTAGAACCGCTATAGCTTCTACTATTTCTTACTTAGTCTAGTACAACTTATCCTTAACCGCTTAAAGCTTGTCCTTAACCTGACCTAGCTTAGCCTTTATCGCCTTATTGTGTACTTCTTGTTTTGTCTATACTTTAAGGAGGACTTTAAGAATGCCGGTTTACTTATTTATCTACTTATAAAGCGTCTGTAGTATTACCTCCTCTCTTCTTGTCTTATCGTTCTGTGTACTACTAGTTCTTGCGATCTAAGAAACGCTTACTAGGTACTTTCTAGAGGACAAGAGTATAGTATCGATCGATGCTAGATTCTCTTTATTCTGTCTTGCCTTTATACTTAGCTTTTGTAATCGTCGCTATTAGCGACTACTACTCCCTTCTCCCTTAGACGCGACTACGATCGCGTCTTTAGCTTTAACTTTTATTTTAGGGGCCTCGGGACGCGCCGCTGTTAGGTTCGCTAGCGTCACGTTACTTAACCTGCGGTTCTACCTAAATCCAACTATAACAAAGCCACAAAGAATATTATTAAGCAATAGTTGGGTTAGTGATCTGTTCGCTTGGCCACAGTAAATACAGCTGTCATGGCGCTTACAGTGGCTTACACGGCCGGCTTCCCCTACCCCAAATTTTTTGACTTCTTGCGGACCAGGGGTTCTCGGCCTATTGTCCAAATGCGGTTAAGCGCAAGGTACTATATCGCGCCAATTGACCAGGCCTGCCTCTTTCGAAAGCCCTAGATATGTATTACAATTACATGCTAATCCTATTCGTACCTACAGCCCCTTATCTTACAAACCATGGCCCCGAATCTCGCTCCCTCCTAGTATGATCTTATTCGTGACATAATACTTTACTAGAAACTTACGACTAGCAAAATGGCTAATACTACTAGGCGTAGTAAGCGTTTAATCAAAGCTATACGCTTAAATCTTCGTTACTTTAGGGCCACTATAGCCCCTCTAAATAGTAGGGGAGGCGTTAGTCTATAACGCTACACATACTTGAGATTTTATAGGAGTACCTCCTTAAGAAGCCTAAGTTATACCTAGAAGAGATAGTAGTCTTCTTATAGGACGAATTCGATGTCCTTATGTCTCTATCTAGTATTAGTAGGGCACTGTAGTCAAGTAATTAGTCTAAGGAAATAGCTGGCCGAGTAGCTAAGGAACAAAATCTAGATCTACAAGATTTCTATCTTTACAATCTTTTAGTTTATCGCTCCTAGCACCTCGTATGTTGACGAGTGGGGTTGTTCCAATGACGAGGAGTTCTGGCGTGGATTTCATTGCAGGAATAATTGAAATCGGCGTTACGCTAGAGTTTTGCAAATATAGCTTTATATTCGTAATTCTATTCTCGACATTATGGGATGTGTACCTCGATTCCTTCTCTCGCCATTCTGTATATTCCCGCTGGTTTTTCCGGATGTACAGTACCTGAAGGTACACCAGCCACATCTCGGACGACGGATGTGACCAACCTGCTCCACCTGGTTTCCCAATCCAGGTTTCCCCATTTCCCTGGCCTCTGTATATATGAGCCTAGCCATGTCTCGCCCTCGTCTCGAACCCTCCTTCGTTCTTTATCATGATACTCCAGTCACACCAGCCGATACAGATCCAGAATGTGTCCCGCTAAGGGTCATGTGCGTTAACCCCCCCCCCCCCCCAAAAAGAAGCCAAACTCCCCAAACCCTCGGCCGTTTTCGCCCGAAATGCCTCAAGAACACTGTTATAGAAGGTGGCAGCGCTCTCCAACCCAGCCGCAACACATGGCTGGGACGGGCCGCCGCGGATTACCGGTCGTCACGAAGTCAACATGGAGACTACAAATACGATCCACAAAGTCCCTGCCCGCAGAAGCCGTGGGGACTCTAGGCGGCTCGGATTCCGGGGCTCCTAAAGGTTGACAATGGGGGAGGTTATTATACTACTTCCCCGTGTGCATTTGAATTTTCGGGTACAAATACAAATGTCCAGGAACACCCTGGGCCGGCTCATTAGGAGTTGGAAATGGCACATTCGAGTATATTCTCTGTAGCATATCCAAACGGATTAGCGATATCTAAGAGTTCTTCCAAATTTGTGGCCAAATGTTTTGTGTCGCGCTTACCATCCACCTTGAATGAAAGTCAAAGACAGCTTCTTTCCTTGCAGTCATCTATGCATCTGATGAGGCATGCGTCTTCATCTAACGGGCTGCTTTTACGCGGAGACCGAGAGCCGTCTGGACTTGCAGGTGGGTGCGCCCGGGCTGCATGGTCGTGTTGATCGTTGAGGCAAAACTCAGGCTGAACGGTAGCGCTGTGTATTCCGTGACCATGTAGGCATTCCCGAACTGCCTTTGCCAGTATCATATATCTCTCAGCAACCCCACCCTGCTCGATAAGGAAATCGAGTTGAAGGTGAAGGGACGCAATCGGTTGTGTTTCGTTCAACTGCCACAGGTGGACATGGTGACAGTTGACAACTCCTGGAATCCTGTCCTTGATATCATTGATGTCAAGATGATTCGGGGCACCTTGTAGTAGTATCTTGGCGCTGGCGGTAGTCAAAGGAATGGTCGTCTTCAGGATTATGATTGCGATTAATAGGGAGACCGCAGGATCGGCGTAGAACCGGCCAGATCACGGAGTAGGCCAGATGATAAGTGCAGATGCAATCACACCTACATTGCCGAGCGCATCTCCAACGACGTGTAAGATCATCGCGCTGGTGCCCATATCAGTCTCGACACTGGCTTTCCTCGCAGGCTTGCTGTGGCTATGCCCGCTGTGCGACGGCCCCGGTCCAGCTCCTTCGGTGTCGTGAATTTGTGTGTGCGAACGGCGGCACTTCTGAGTAGAGTAGTAACTTGCTTTTTTCACAAGGTGGAGAGATCTCGGAGGGTTCTTCTGTAACATCATCTTGCTCGGAATGGTCAATCGCAGTCGTGGCCCTAGCTCCAACTGCGGTATGTTTGCTCGCGACGATAATTCCTTGTCTGAAGCTTGCCGGATACATGCTTAGATCCACGAGGCCTCCAGATTGACTGCTTCGTCGTCGATGCAGGCTCGAATGCGTCTCGCTTTTGCTCGAAGAACTGTTCTGAATCTGTGAGCGCGCATTTGTTGCTGGTTGATCTGTCATGGACGTCAGCATCTAACAAATTCAATGACGGCCGCTCCTATGTAACTGACCTGGATGCCCTGCTGCTGCCACGGTATGTGTAGTGCCAGTTCCATGTCCTTCCTCCACAGTGCTGATATCGTCAACTGGGTGATCGTGCTCTGCATCCCCATGCGAGTGTCCTCCTAGCACAAAGAACCCCGCAAGATTTGAAGCGAGTCCTAATGAGCCAACAATAAGGATCAGTTTGGAGTTGCTGATCTCTGGAGGATCGAGGAGACGAGTAATTGCTTCGAGTATGATGGAGAGGCATAGTGCGATGAGGAATACAGCATTGAAGAAGGCGCCGAGAATCTCTGCTCTCAGCCACTGGAGAAGTAATTAGTGTTGAGCTGTGATGTATGAAGCGAACGCTGTTCATACCCCGAATGAGTATTTGTCGGACCTTGGTCTCGCTGCAGCTTTTACAGCCCACAAGCCGACGACGAGGGAGATGATGTCGTTGAGCTGGAACCCGTAAATATAGTATATCATTTAACACGAGAGAGCCGCCTCATCTCACCATATGAAAGGCATCTGCCATAAGAGCCAGCGAGCCCACGAACATCCCAACGCCCAGCTCCAGTAGGAAGAATGCGGTGTCAATGGCCAGCATGACCGAAATTCGATGGGATTTGGACCACGCCATCGCCTCGCAGCATAGGAAGAGACGTGGCGTTGGAATGGATAAGGACTGGAATATCTGCCGCGTCACGTTGTGATGAATACCGAGGAGCAAACGTCTGCCGGACGAGGACTTCCTGGGAGTGATACCGAACAACTAAGAGAGCGACCGAGAAGATCCGCCTAAATCTGACGAGACAGAACAGATTCATTCCGCTGCCCTGCTCAGCACCATGAGACAATTTACCCCGTACTACTGAGTACCACAAACGGTTAACACTTCTATGATACATCGCACTATAATATTATGGTTTCTTTCTAGAGCTTTGGAGCTAACTTTACTCCTGATGCTCACCACGAGAGCGACTACGCGGTGGCCCCATTGGTGGCAACCCGACAGTAGCTCAACGGGCAAGGATTCGGGACCCACAATCAATATAGAGAATGCAGTCGAGGTAGAGGAGAAGGAACAATGAAGGTAGTGCTAGAATAAACTGCAGCTGGTCGGGGTATCATCACTTGCGTGCAGCTTTGATGTACTAGGGCTTGGGCGCGATTGTAGAGGAAACCCACGACATTGAATCACTGTCTCTCTGAGCATATCTTCGGTATAAGCCAAATGTTTTTATACTGCATTCTTCGGTAATTCAGTAGCTCTTTGTCACCAAGACGGCTTAAAGGCCTCGGCTTTCGTAGAAGAGGCAAAGCGCAATTCAGCATGGATTGCCTGCGATCCTAGATGGGTTGGATAGTTTGCAGCATCGTACAGGAGGCACGTGGGGATGTTCTTGAGGAGTTCAGTTTACATATATTCTTCGCATGTTCTGACGACCTTAACGACTGGACCCCTCTTCCCCTGCCACGCATTTGGAGAAACGCACTTGACAGGTACTTGAGCAGCTTTATTGTAACCTCGAGCCTCCTCAGCCACAGCAAGTCAGGTCTTCGCACAGAATACCACAGGTCATTTGGCAGTTGGCCTTTGTCAGTCGCTGACGTAGACTTGGCAATTCTCTATTGCCACCAGCAGCGTCGGTCGACTTAGCGAACTCGGGCTGCAGCGTAGTAGAATGAATCCCATATGCATGGAGGCATTCCTTAATGAGCCGTGCCGAATTCATAAAGCTCGTGACCGAGTCGTCAGAGGTGAGGACATGGGCGGATGCCAAAGCCTTATTCTGGCTCAGACGCCACGCGTGTAACTCATGTATTGACTCTACGCCGTCGATCTATGTAATATTAGTAGATATATTTTATCTTGGGGTAATACAGTCGCGACATACCTTTTCGAGGTCGTGTTTCACGTCCGCAAGGTTTACGCCGAGCGGCACACTCTCGAGCAGGATCGTACCACTATTCTTGACTGGAGGCAATGTTGTAAGCGCGTCCAAGCCTGGCATCAAGAGGTATATCTTACCGAGTGGCAATGCTGAGAGCAGGATCATTATTGCGATGCCCATGCTGACCCCAGGATCAGCATAGAATCTCCCCTCGTATTTAGCTTTCCATATCACAGCGGCGGCGATTATGACGCCGATATTGTTGATAGCATCTCCAACCAAGTGTACTAGAACACCCATCAGACCAAGATCATGATCCTTTCCCCTGGTTTCGGCTACTGTATGACGATGATCCTGATGTGGGTGCGTTGTCTGGTGAGCATTAGCATCATCTTGAACCTGTGCGGCAGGAGGGTAGCACTCACGTCTTGCACTATAGCTGAGAGATCGATGCTATTCTCAGTTGCGGCGCCCGCTGGATGCTCGCTCGCGCTGCCGTGGTCGTGGTCATGCTCTAAGAGTCTATCCTTCAGCTTTTACCCATTAGGAGATGGCACAGGGACCTCATACCGTGCAGGAATGTGACACTGATGATGTTCAACGTAAGACCCACACAACCCATTATCAAGATCAACATTGGATTTTCTACTTCTGCAAGCTGAGTTAAGAGTGTGCTTTGATAGAGAGAGACCGGGCATACTCTGCAGAGATACAAATCGTTCAACGGATTGTAGAAAGATGCTCACACCGAGCGCCAGGAGGAAAACGCCATTGAAGAAAGCTCCTAAGAGCTGTGCCCTTTGCCAGCCGAAAGACAATGCTTCGGGTGTATTATCGCGTTGTGAGATCTGAATTAAGCACGTTGGCTAGTCGGCCGGGTGGGTAAGATCTGACGTCAACTTACCCTGAGTGCAACGAGAGCAACGATAAATCCTACCAAGTCATTCATCTAGTCGCAAAGTTAGTTATCAGAGTACGAGGAAGATATTTCGCAGGCCGGAATGTACATAATGGAATGCATCAGCGATGAGGGCAAGTGAGTGGGTGTAAAATCCGACTGGAAGTCGTGTGGCAGAGTCAGCTATGCTAACCAGGCAAGCAGTGTTTCGTTTCGGGGAGCAGCTCACCTGAGATCTCAGCAACGAAGAATGAGAAAGATATGCCGATGATAATTATCAAACGTTGCGACTTGGATAGTCTGGCGGCCATGGCTGATAATGGGAGACGTCGAATGTTAATGGGAAGAAAAGGATACCAGAGGAGGAGGTGATTTAACGCGCAGTGGCTAGCGCCATGTTTTAGGCTACCGCCTCTACCGCCTTATTCTGCCCGCCCTGGACCTCCGCAGCAAACCTCACTACCTCACTCCTTCAACCGAAACCCTTCAAGTTAGCATATCCTCTTTCGAGATAATCATCCTCCTTACGAAGATCAACAACCCCGTTTACGCATACTTCTACCATGTCGGGATTTCTTGGGAAGATCACTGACCAGCTTTCTGGGCAAAAGCAATCAAACGGCCAACAGCAGTCTTCGGGCTCATCACTCTTACACAAGGTCACTGACGCCGTGACTGGGCAAAAGCATCCTCAAGACTACCTGGACCAACAAGTCGCATACAATAACACTCCGGGATACAATCAAGGGCAATATTATGGAAACCAAGGCGGATACGGGGGTAACAGTGGTGGATATGGCGGCGGGTATGAAGGAAATGGCGGATATGAGGGTCAACACGGCGGGAATAGAGGTGGCCACGGCGGCTATGAAGGACGCGGTGGATATGAGGGTCAACACGGCGGGAATAGAGGTGGCCACGGCGGCTATGAAGGACGCGGTGGATATGAGGGTCAACACGGCGGGAATAGAGGTGGCCATGGCGGCTATGAAGGACACGGCGGATATGAGGGTCAACACAGCGGATATGAGGGTCAACACGGTGGGAATAGAGGTGGCCATGGCGGCTATGAAGGACACGGTAGCGGGAAGAGAGGTGGCCAGGGTGGGTATGAGGAACACGGTGGGAACAGGGGTGGCCATGGCAGTTACGACGGGTATAGAGGCGGTCATACAGGACATTAACATTATCAGTTGACAGTATCTGAGTGAACCGGTCTTTGCGCCATTAAAAGCTTAAATTTTAGGCTGATTTCCGTCCTAGAGCCCCCTTAGCTCGTGAGATTCGTCCGCACTCTTAAATGCTCTTGTAGTCTTTGCCATTAATAGCATTATTCAATGCAGGGTGGAAGATCCAAACATTGACATTGAGCGAACAATGCTCCGGTCCACAAAGCAGTGACATGTCTCGTCAGACTTTCAGCGTGACGACTTGTGCCGCCAAGGCTTAGACCAGGCTCCTTTGATAAAGCTGACGTGGCTGCACTGCCCTCTTGTGCCTGAGGCAGAAAACAAATCTTTTCAGGGAAAGATAAGTTCTTTTACAAACACGGCTCCTAAGTATTTCAGTTTCTGCACGATACATCAAATCGTCATGTCGACGTCTACGAGCTCAGAATCGAATGCGGCTCTTCCTGCTAGTATACGCCAGAGGTCCTGTCACCGCATTTCCTGCACAAGCGCACTCCGAGAGACCAAGTGCTGTGATAGTGAATTCTCTAGCCCTTATACTCGACGTCTTGCTAACTCCAATAGATACTTGCCTTGTCGAAATTGCACGTCGCGATTGCAACAGCGAGCCGAATCACCGACTACAGCTTCTTACAAAACCCTCCGGCGATACTCTCGACGATTCTGCCCTTCCGTCCCCTGCTGATGAGGAGCCATGTGAGAGTCATTACCTGAAGGCTAAAGAGGCATATAGCGGGATCTTAGAGAACATTGGCTGTATTTGCAGGGTGTTACTATCACTGAACCTCGATTCGTGCTGTGTCGTACCTCCGGATGGCTCTCTTCGCTTCAAGCGTTCAACGGGGTCTATGAGGAAGGGTCTCTTGACAGGCACGAGCATGCCTTCCAGCGCTCCTTCTCTCTGCAAGTCACAAGAAGGTATCGACGGTAGCAAGAAGCCCTGCTGCTCTGAGGCGTCTACAGCTGGCCAGGAGACAAGCCCACCACCAGGGTTAAAGTTCACTGGTGCTAGAAAGGTCTCTTGCTTTAGTGGACCTTCGAATTCCAGAATCGATCGATACCGCGGAAGTTCAGCCCCCAGTCTTGACGGTAGCTACAAAGCTAGTGCTGATGCCTGGGCCACCTATGCGGCGGCTCCCGATGACCTTTCCCTCAAGGGGGGCTTCTGCAGCAGTAAGGAAATGACTGGCGGCTATTGCGCTGATAACTTCGGCTCCGCCATTCCTCTGCCCACTCCCGGAGACTGTTCTCGCAAGAAGTGCTGTTCTGATACGACATCAAAACCTACGACTGGACAGACGACCACCGAAGCCCACGGCGATCCACTCGACAGCTGTTATGCTAAGGAGTATTCGACTGGGGCAGATGGAGATGCGATAGATAGTTATTGTACCAGCGATCCCCATAGTCAACTAGGAACTCTAGCAGGCGGCAAGGGAACCAGGTACACTCCGGTCACCGGGGTCAATGAATTTGACCTCGAGAAGGGTGACTTTCCGGTTGAGCATGTGGTGTTGAGCGTTCAAGGGATGACTTGTACTAGGTGCGAGAAGAAGCTCTACAAATCCCTGGATATGATAGCGGAAATCTCGAATATCAAGACTAGTCTACTCTTGGCCCAAGCAGAGTTTGACCTCAGTAGAACCTCTGCCACCATCGACACCCTCGACACCATTAAAGCTATAGAGAAGATGACTGGCTTTACCTGTACGACGATGACGCAGTCTGGACACGAGCTAGATTTGATCGTGGATGGTCTTGCATCGGAGTTTGCTGCTAGAGACCTCCCATTTGGAGTTTCCGACATTGCTGTTCTCGACACACACACTATTCGTGTAACCTACCAGCCTAAGCTTGTTGGTGCCAGGGACCTGATGTCGGACCCGTTCTTTTATTTACCGAAACTCGCTCCAGTTGCAGATCGTCCTTTGATCGCTTCAGGGAGAGCTCATGTCCACCTGATGCTCCGGAAAACAATTGTGTCTACTGTACTCACTATCCCTGTCCTTGTTATGGCTTAGGCTCCTATTCCGGAGCGCGAGGTTATCTACGGAGCAGCCTCATTAGTTCTTGCTACAATTGTTTAGGTTTACATTGCTAGACCCTAGTACGTTAGCGCTTTTAACGCTCTTTTCTTCTTACGCTTGATTAAGATAGATCTGCTTGTTGTCTTGAGCACAACTACAGCATACGTTTACTCGATGATCGCATTTGGTTTTCTCGTCTCGGAGAAGCCCTTGTCGACGGGAAGCTTCTTTTAGACGAGCACTCTACTTGTTACCCTTATTATGGTTAGGCGTCTCGTTAGCGGCTTTACACGTTAGCGAGCGATAGAGTCAATCTCTATCGAATCACTCTAGTCATCAACTGTAATCCTCACTGATTCTAAGACCCGTAAGGAACAAGAGATCGACGCTCGCCTGCTTTAGTATTAGGACATCTTTAAGGCTTTACTAGATACGTCTATCGCTACGGATGGTACCGTCATCACTAGGACATCAGAAGTCGACGAATCTATGATTACGGGCGAGGCCACACTAGTTACTAAGAAGCCCGGTTCTCTGGTGGTTGCCGGCTCGATCAACTATTCTGGTACCCTAACTATCTGGCTTACACGTCTTCTAGGCGAGAACACTATTAAAGCCATTAGGCTGATAGTAGACGAGGCTAAATCATCAAAGACTAAGATTTAGGAAATTACAGATCGTGTGGCTACCTACTTTATCCCTACTATACTCGTGGTCACTGTTCTGGTATTTGTTATCTGGGTCGCTGTTAGCAAGGTCATCCGTGGCTATGATGCAACCACCACCTGTATTAATGCGATGACATACGCCATCTTAGCTCTTATTGTGTCGTGTCCGTGTGCGATTAGGCTGGCAGTTCCTATGGTGCTAGTGGTAGCAGGAGGTGTTGCGGCAAAGCATGGCCTGATCTTTAAAACCGTAGAGACTATTGAGATAGCCCGGAACCTTTCTCATGTCATCTTTGACAAGACAGGCACCCTTACACAAGGACTACTCGCTGTCGAGGCTAAGATATACCCGACGGGGCAAGGCGACACGCTAGCGCTACTACTACTAGGTTTGACTAGTAACAGCAAGTACCTAGTGTCGACTGCTATCGCTTCCCGCCTTAAGTCTTCTAGAGTTAAGCCCGAGGTAGTCGAGAAGGTTGTTTCTGTGGCTAGGAATAGGATAGAAGCAACTTGGAAGGGGATGATCATTCGTGCTAGTAATCCACATTGGCTAGGCGTCAAAGACTTACCAGCCGTCAAAGAAATACTTCTACTCGGTGTTAGTATGTTCTGTGTCTCGGTTAATAAAGACCTTGTCGCGGTCTTCGGTCTCAAGGATCTCCTTCGCCCAGATGCTATTCGCGTCATCAAAGAGCTGAAGAAGCGATCTGTCGAAATCTCTATCGTCAGCGGCGACAATGAAGAGTCTGTCAAGTCTGTCGCCAGGGTCCTTGATGTACCAGAGAGCCACGTCCGCTTCAGATGCAGCCCAGCTGACAAGCAGATTTACGTCAAACAGATGCTCGCCCCCCCAAACAGCGTCGTGTTGTTCTGCGGTGATGGCACCAACGATGCTGTCGCCCTGGCTCAGGCAAGCATCGGTATGCACATCGACGGAGGGACGGACATAGCCCAAAGTGCGGCGGACGCCGTCCTCGTCCGGCCTGCGCTAAGCGGCATTATCATCCTTATAGACCTTTCGACGGCCTTCTTCCGCCGCGTGGTCTTCAACTTCATGTGGTCCTTTATCTATAATACTTTTGCAATCCTACTGGCCGCTGGTGCCTTTCCTAATGCCCGCATTCCGCCGGAGTTCGCTGGCTTGGGTGAGATAGTCAGCGTCCTACCAGTAATTGCTATTGGGATGCAGTTGAAGTGGACGAAATTTTACTGAGCTGAATGACCCTAGATGCGATTGTTTCGAGAGGCCGGCATCACATAGGCTGGATTTGATGGCGTTTAACATCTCCCTCTTCGGTGTGCATTCAACATGTCGCCGCCTACGTAATGTTTGTTTGAAGATGAAGATGCAGATATTCCTTACCATAGAATTGCCCTCGAATACACCTGAAAACACAAAACTGTTTGCTTGATGCGCATATCTCCCATTGTGCGTATATGCCCACCACTCGCTGTGTGAACTACGTCTTGCATCAAAAACCCTTCCATACTCTTGGCCTTTCTTTTTCTTCCGGCGCATTTACGCTGATGTGGTCCCCTCCAAGTTAGTCACGTGTGCCGAAGGAAAGAATTCCACACGCGCCAAATTGGAGATGCACTAGTTGGTTCCCCGGAGAGTAGTTAGAGGGGAACCGACTAGTATCCGCAAACCTTACATTCCTCCCCTCCATAGTGAAGCCGTGATTGGTGCGGTGCATTATTCAGAATTTCAAACCATGCACCCTGTTGATTGCCGAGGTCGAGATTAAAAAAGCTTACCTCAGGCACTCAGGCCATAGTCCAAGAGAAGTCTAGCACCTCAGGATAAACGTACTTCTGCTCCGAGATCATGTTATCTTCTATTGTATATGGCCTGAGGATCCTGTCCAACGCCCGCACTGTTCTGCGGTTGTTTTGTATGTGTTTTTCGCGATTCTGGCAAAATCGCAGTTCTTCATATCCAGCAATAACCGCGTCAAAACATATTAGATTCATCCCTAATTTCACTGGGCTGTGCATCAAGGCATCTTCGTATCTTGCGGAAAACACCAATATGTGGTGAACTACCCATAAATAGAGCAAAAATCGCCATCCAACCACCATTCCCTCCTTTAAGGGCACAGGAGTCGAGAGAAACACTGTCAAAGGTCATGGGAATGCCATCAGCTACTGTGCAAAGCTTTGTCTATCGCGTTGTTGAGCACGTGTTGTGTTCATATCGGAGGGGTTGATGGACCGAGGGATTCAATCGCGCGCCCTTGTAGCGTAGATTTTCGGTCAACATGACTCGGATTTCACTGGATTATAGAATCGATGAATCTAGTTCGAATGAGGGTATACCGTAGATTGTATGATGCACTGTCGTCGAGAAAAACGACGTTGAAGATGATGAAGCGAAATGGTTAAAATATTCCCGCACAGGCCCAAAATTCGGGACACGGCACTCAAGCCATTTATTATCCTACGACTCTCCTAACCCCTTATCAACTATGTGTTGCGTAGGAGATCGCAGACTGCAATACGCAAGACCCTAATGCAGGACCCTTGGAGACTCTCTGCAACACGTAGACTAGCGACCCGTCGAACTATGTTTAGCTACGAGCCGCTGGGGTCGCTACATCAACCGCAGTCCTTCGAGGAAACATGCAGTCGAAGCACTTCGCCAAAGCCTCCGCTTTCTCTCCTCTCTCTTAATGGCAACAAGGGAGAGCGACAACTCTCTCGAGATCTAAGAGAAGTCGTATACGGCGGTATCAGGAGGTTTCTCAGATCTATTTGATCCTGCCACCCATGAGCTGTTCCTCTGTGCCCTGCAATATTTTACTAGCCTGCAATATGTCTTCGAAGAAGGACATGAACCCAATCTAGCCTCAGTCCCAATCTCGTCACGATTTAATAAATATCTTACTGATCGTGCCTACGTTCGTACGTGAAGGTAACCAACCATAATTCAAGTCTCGTTGGCGAATACAGGCAGGCAAATATTGCGGTTCCCTAGGTCATCGGCTATGATGGTAGGACTCGACAGATACTCTAAGAGCAGTTAAGTCAAAACGCAAGATAGAAGGATTCCATCCTGTGTGTAGGCTGGCAGGATCTGGTATCGTCGGCCCCGGTTCGCTTAGCAATTTGAATTGGAGTAACACTAAACGGAGACTAGCTAGTCTTTCTAAACCCAATCAATTTATCGCATCCAACATATACGAGGTGGTAGGAGCGAAAAGCTGACCGATTGTTAAGATAGAAATCTTATAGATCTGGATTTCGTTCCTTTAGTGAGAAGACCCAGGAAGCACGTTTATAATATTAATCGGTGGAAGATTCGACGACGGAATGTTAGTAACTTTTTAATGTCTCTTAAGCCGCTGCTGGTCTTCAGCATATATCTGCTGACGGATGTCCTTAGAGCCGTGGCTTCAAAAGCGATCCCAGCATCTGCTCAGCTTTAACGGCAAGAGGCTACAGTCGACATGGTCGGTGAAGCCGATGCAAAAGTATTTGACGCCCAAGGAGCAGTTCGGAACCTATGTGGTTTCAATGGATGTGACAGCGCTTGAGACAGCACTCTTAGCTACAGAACTCCGCCGACTGCTATCCCTGTGTAATAACCATCTTACTTCCTAGAAGTGATATCTAGTATGGTTTTGTTTTGCCAAATAGTGCGGTTTCTTGCTTGCTTAAGAGACTCAGCCTAGCATAGCTTTTCCAGACTCAATACAGTCGAAAGAGTTACTAATTGCTTATAGCCGCTGCTACCAAACACCTGAATTGACTTAGATTTATTTTAACCGTTTACCCGATAGTAAAGTACAGAAGTGCAAGCCCAGAGTTTTATTATACCGCCTTTATTCTGCCCCCAACCAAACCTGGTTGTCCATATATAATGTTCCACACGACAGGAAGTTGGATCTTCCACTCAGGATTTCCCTGCAATAAATTATTTCAGTTTTAAGCATGTAGATGATTTTCGTCTAGTGACCTATAACGCCCCACCGCAAGACTCCCGAGAAATATCCTACAGAGTACTAACATAAAATACCCGACATTCCTTGTCATGATAGATAGCATGCTGTTAGGTATTAGTAACGATCATACGCTAGAGGAGGCTGTGTAAGGTGGCCTACAGCAAGTACAGTACACCGACGGTCACAACATCAACTACCGCCCGTGTACAGCCAGTAGTAAATCTCCATGGTCTGACCATAGAGATTTACTACTAGATTGCGGGTCGCTATCTGTATCCTCCTTACTTGGCCTCTTTGAGATGATAGTATAACGACTATTAAGATCGGCTTTAATCTAACGTCTCTTAAGTACAGACCTAAGGGCAACGAGGGCGCGGAAGATAACGGCGAGCACAATAGGGAAGACACAAGTGCCGCTATAATTACCCTCTGAGACGGGTATCCATGTCAGGGAGTATAGTGGAGTTCCGGGTCCGCTAGAAAACATTAAAATACCAGTGACGACTAGAGATTTAAAGTCTGAACTGCTTGGCGCGGGGATTTTAACAATTACGGGAGATGTGTCGAATGGCCTGTGCGCGGTAAACCTACTCAAAACTAGCTCTCGGGCTAACTTAGTTTAGCGCCAACCACCCCGCTCCTTAGGTAAGCTCTACTACTTACTTACCGGGAGGCGAATAGAGGCATCTGCTTATGTAACCAAGTCGATATGTCACTAACGGGAGGGTATGATGATAGAGGCGGTGCGGGGAGCCTAACTAAAGACCTTAGAATGAAATCTCCTGATTCTCGAACGATGACAGATCGATGAGAGCTACAGATACCCATCCGCCATGTCGTCTAGTTTATTTCCCCCTACCATCGAATGTGAACAAGTCCAGCCGACAAGTAGCAAAAGGGTAACGGCACAGTATACCTTAGAGCGGGTTCGTAATAACTAGCGCCGCTATCGCGCTTAGCGGAGAGAGTACGTTACAAGACTAGAACAAAAGCTCGGACACGCAGAGCAGCGTATCACGACCCTTCGAGAGCAGGTAGACACACTGCGGGCGGAGTTGGCCCAGTAGTTGCTAGAAACACCACCTGTAATACAGCCCAGCCCTAGAGGCCTGGACTCTCAAGCGGTAAGTCCACTTGCAGACGCTATAGAAGGAGGCACTGTGACGCCTTTCGGCCTACCTCTATTTGAGCTCCTGCTCCTTGACAGCTTGCTTAGTCCAGAACTGGCCGGTCCCGCCTCTCTTTATAGCGGGTAGGACAATAATATCGACGACGCTAGCGGCTATGCCGTAGCCGAGGCCCTGCGACCCCTTATGCCCTTAAACTAGCCGGCTAACTATATTACGGGAGTACCTATAGTAGTAGCATCTTGGTCGTCTGGTAGAGGAGCGGGATATCCCTCTTGCTCACGCAATGTACCGGACGTAGCCCTGCAGAGATTGAACCACCAGTTCGTCGGGGGCACTAGATCCTGGCTGTCAGCAACAGGCACTTTGTATTCAACACCCCTAGCAGCGGAATCCTGTTGCTCCAGTCGACGTGCTCTACAGCCCGAAAGCCTTAGCGTAGGTGAACATAACCACGATTTTGATCCAGGGAACACACCGTCTTCACCGGGATACATTCCTTAGTCACCTATAACAGCCTACTTCGGACACACGACCGAGAACGAGCCGACGATGCTTTGTGCCGAAGCATACCTCCTTATCGAGCAGCAAAACTTTAAGGGCGTACACTAGAAAGCCGTAGTAACCTAGCTCTAGATAGGGTTTCGCGAGTCTTCTAATCCTAGAGAGGGATGCCGTGACAAGACAGATCTGCTGTTCAGCCTTCTAGCGTTTATTAGTGAAGTTTGAGTACCCTTAATATAAGCCGGGGAAGAAAGAGAGAGCTAAAATAGAAGAGCCTTTTAGAAGTTTGTATGTATACGACCACCTATAGTTTGTATTTATGTGCGTCGCTTTTCATAAGTTTGGCTGTACGCTCTAGGCCACCTAACAGCCTGCCACACTAGTAGCCTAGCGAGTCTGATGTAGTCGCCCCTAAACCCAGCCTTGCGCACGATTAGAATGTCACTAGATTTACACTATTAGTCTCGGTACTTCTGCCAAGATACGTTAAAAGCCCCTAAAGCTCTTCACTTTTAGACCGTGCTCCGCTAGAATATCCTACTAATCGATAAGTACTAGCGACAATCTTCTAATCTAGTGTTTAAGAGGCCATATGCCCTAGTATAAAAATGCTCGAAGGCGGTTGTTTTCCTAGTGTATCCTCTATATCGCGCCTCGCTCTATAAAGAGCTCGCTTCTTTCTAAACATCGCCTCTTGCGAGCAGCAGCCTTAGCTACGAAGTCTCTCTATCGAATAGGCTCTCTCGCTTACCTGTCGGGAGAGTGTCGAAGTCTTTTACAATGCCCTCACCTACCCATCTCGGAAGTAGAAGATGACCCGGAGATTAGGAGCAGGTATCGACCTTTCCTTCTAGACGTAGCGACAGAGGCTACCGACTAGATCTCGGCACTAGAACTAGAAACTACGGTCAGTATGGCCGAAGCGGATCTAGCCAAGACTAGAACACGGTTAAGGGTCCTTATCTTGTACGGGAGTTTACGTAAGCGGTAGGCGTCCCTATCTTCTACTAGGCAGGCATCGCTAACATTTGTTACAAAAAGGTCTTATTCTAAACTCATAGCCTTCGAGGCTGCCTGTATCCTGTACCGCCTAGGCTGCGATGTGCGGATTTTTAACCCGTCCTCGCTCCCGATCCGCGACTCGGTCGAGGCGTTACACCCCTCGGTCTAAGAGCTGCGATCTCTGTCGCTCTAGTCTGACGGCCATGTCTAGTGCTCGCTAGAGTAGCACGGCAATCTGACTACCGTCTTTAAGAACCAGATCGACTAGATCCCGCTCACAACTACATCGGTCCGACCCACGTAAGGTCGGACCTTGTCGATAATACAGGTTAACGGCGGTAGTTAGAGTTTTAATACACTAAATAGCCTTAGGATCTTAGGGCGGTAGATAAGGATGTTTACTATCCCTAACTAGAGTAGCTTGCCTATAGCCTACAAGCAATTCGAGGATAAGGGCAGGGACAGGAGTAGAGAGGCACGCTTATTACCGAGTAGAAACCGGGAGAGATTAGTAGATTACATAGAGGAGTTTGTCAAGTATACTATTCTGATGCGGCCACACTTAGAACTGTTTGGCGATCGGTTTAGCGAGAGAAGGGAGAAGAGGGAGAAGGAGGCTAAGAGGGTTACTACTACAGATGCTGTATAGATTTGGCGTAGAAGACTTTGATTTTGTTATAGTATTAGAATAAATAGACGGTGATATTTGCTACTACCGTTCGGAATTCTTTTGACCTGTGCTTTCCTACTTATTTTTCCCAACCTCTCGAAGCGAGTACCTAGATACAATTGTAAAGTGACCATTAACAAGATTTTGTATTTATGTGCTCTTTATAACTATATAATGATCTAATATGCTATGCCTACGTAAAGTACAATGCTAAACGCTTGCCCTTACGGCGATCTAAATTCCCGCGCCTCCTATTATCAGTCCTTCTACCCTCTCTTACGCCTAATTGCCTTCACTACATACACTAGACCAAGTAAGACGGGCACTTTAATAAGTGGCCTAACGGTAGAAGCTAGAGCCTAATCGCTATCAGGGCCGTACGTCGTAACGGCAACAGTAATAGTAAGCTCGAAATTGTTACTAGTAGCTGTAAAGCTTTGTGTTGCTACGAGCTTGTACCTAAACCTAAGCTTATGTGTTACTAATAGCGTCAAGAAGAAGATAACGGCGAAGTAAACGACTAGGGGTGCCGCTATACGCACAACCGACACGATTTAGTGCACGACTTAGCGTCCTTAAGAAGTAAAGAGCACTAGTATAGTAAACAGAAGACCGATCAAGGACTAAGGGGCGGCGAATCTTAAGAATACTTTGTCATACTAATTTAGGTTAACTAGCTTTCGAAGCGCGAAGCGGGCAGCACCTAGAGGGATCCTAAGAAACACCCTGACTGATTTGGCGACAACCTCGTATAACACTTCTATATTAGCGCTACTAATGACCCGGAGGAACAGGATTGCTAGTAGAGCAAAAAGAACTATCTGTAGCATAGAATTGACAGCGACGAGAATAGCGTAGTATTCGCTGTCGCTAGCCGCGAGGCCCGTCTATATCAAGACCATAGCGATATACCTTACGACGCTGACAAGGATCAATCTATCTCTCAGTCCTGGCTTGTTAGGAAGGAATGCCTATGCTAGGCCGAGCTGTAAAGAGTTAGAGTTAGCACGACAAAACGACAGAGGGGTAGAAGTAGTATATACTATGACCAGAGGAGTGACGATCTAATTGATAACGATACTAAAGCCGATTTGTACCTATATTTTGCGCTCTCGGAAGACGTGGTAAAGAGTCTTGTATCTGACCTTGTACAGTATAGGGTACATTATGACGAGCAAGCCTACAGCTACGAGCGAGAGAAAATGTTAGCCGCCAATATTTTCTGGTAATAACATGTAACGCTATCTTACTGATTAGTACTAATACACCGACGAACTTTCCCTTCTAAAGAGCTAGGCCTGTACTCGGGACAAAGTTTCCTAAGATGATGCTAATAGCTATGGCTAAGAAGATCTATACCGCTAGAAATCGATCTAGTAGTCCTAAGCTAGTCTCATTAGAATCGTCTGTTTTATTGCCTGTTGCCTGTAACTCGACATCGCGATCTAGAGACGGAGGTGTTGCCAGCTTAGAAGCAGGCTACTCCTTGTCTTTTTGTAGATCGGGATATTCTTAATTAGGGTCTCTTGTTAAGGGCATTTTAAGAGACATGTGAATAATATAATATAGGCTCGAGCAATCTCGGGAGAAGAGTCCGATAGTAATAGAAAGGTAAGGTAATAGCCGTGGAAAGATAGAGGATAGTTCTCTAAGGTAGTATTTATATGCAACCTAGTATATTCCTAGGCAGGAATAAAGAGAAGCTAAGAGAAAGGAAAAGGCCTGCGCTAAGAGGATAGAAAACCATGATTGATAATAATTACCCTCTAAAAAGTCACTATAGATATAGATACTCATTATTGAGTAACAACCTTGGCCTCGTAGAAGGGGGCAAAGGAAGAAAACTATCGTGTCACTAGATTCGTCTAATTAAATAGAGGTAGCGACATTCTAGTAATTAACTAAGTGGCTTTACGGCTTTTCCGCTTTTGTATTCTCGGACCCTAAACACGATACTAAAGGGAAAAGAAAAAAGCAAAAGGCCTACGTAGGTATAATCTCTACTCCTTACAGGAGGGTGTATAAGACCTAGGTAAGCGTTAGGAGACTCTTCTTGCCTGTCCCATCGTCCTCTATTCATTCAATTACGCCGTAGCGTTAAGGTCATTACCTTACAGGCAGGGTGTGTCGAGTATATCTACTCTACGTTAGCGCTGCCCCTCTCCTGATATTTCTTTTACGAAGAATAGGTTCTATTTGTACAGCTCGAAATCATTCTTCTGTAGTAAGATTCCTATAGTACTAGCACTTAGTACCTACCCATTACTAGCAACCATAGTATCAACCGAACCCCCCGCCGCCCAAGGCGACGTAGAGAGACCGTAGCACGCCGCCTACCTATCGCCGAAAGTGACCGTCTTAACCGTTACTCGTGCGACAGTTCTTTTATAGATACAGGACAGGAAACTCCCTAGGAAGGATTTCGTTCTCTTAGACGTACGGCGAACAGACTACGAGGTAACCTTAAAGCCGTCTATCCTTCTTACCTTCTGCCCTAGGTGCTAAGATTTTATAACTATTAAGGTTCGAAAATGATATACAAGAGCCTATATACTAACCTTAGCTACCTTAGGGTAGTACCGTTCATAGATCGATCAATCTTCCTACACAATCTCTATATCCCGCGATCCCGTCATTATATACCCTCTTCTTAGCTACGGGAGTCAAGAATGTGATCTGGTTCTGTAGTAGGTTCCTTGTCACACCCGTTCGTATTTCGAACCACTATCTACCTACGAATCTCGCTTAGGTAATTACCCTTCCTCAACCCTAAACTAACGTCTAAATCAGGCTCCTCTAAAGGACGTGGTACGCGCGCAGCCGGCTGGTTTGCGGATCACATCAAGGAACAGGGCGACACCGCGATAGTAAGTAGTATCCTCGAAGGCGGTGTTAAGGGTTAGGCAACCTCGGGGGACGAATATGTGAAAAGGATAGATGAATACGATGCTTCCGTATAGAAGGCGAGTTAACTTATTTGTCAGACCTTAAAGACTGTATCAAGTATAGTTTAGCAGTTAAGCGGCCCCTAGAAGGGCTAGGGAATACCAGTTCTCTTAAGATATTGTTACTACATTATGTACTATGTACTGTAGCCTTCTATTCTATCGTAAACACATATAGACACAGTTAGAACACTCGGTAAACCTCACGGACCTATTCCGCTAATATTCTAGAGGTAACATGTTTAATTCGTTGTCTAAATCGAGTTCAACTTTATCCAGAAAAAACATTAGTACGGCATTTTACGCCGAACCGAAGCGCGAGCTATTGCGCTTCAAGGCAGAAAAAGTACTACAGTTGTAGTCTTTATATAAGAATACATCTCTTATCAACGGCCCGTTCTATTATACTATACGCTATACTATGCGTCTGTGAGCTTCGCCCGGTAAATGAGATAGAGCTTCCGAGCTTTACTAATTGCGACTATGTAGTTTTCTACTTCTAGATCTAGGCATGGCCGTAGGAGGGTAGACAGCGCGTGGGATTTATCTGCTCCCTAGGTCGTCTTTCGTATACACTCGACATGATACGGGTTTCCTTTACCTGCCACAGCCCTAGGTAGAGGACGTCCCGGCTCGACACTAATCATATCGAGATAAAGGGCTTAAGAGCTAGGGCCCGAGATTAGGCACGATGGTTGAGAAGTGGACCCACGCGACTCGACTGACGGAACGGTCCCATAGGCCTGGGCATAATACTGCGACTCGGATGATCCTCTTTAGATCACAATAAGAAAAGATTAGCGATATCTAGAAAGAGTTGCTTCACCTGAAATTGGTGGCTTACAAATCCTGATAGACATGGTACCTCGTAGATATGCGTAGATGATAGTCCGCTAGCGTCATTACCGCCACAGTTGTGCTCCTAGCTATATATTCCTTGCCAGTAATCTTCTTCTACCGTGCTAGTGCTTACTAGTAGGCGCGGTCATCCACTCCAATGGTGATTTAATCCTCTCTCAAAGCCTTGTCTATCAATTCTGGCGGATCGCTCCCATCGACATCCTAATCTTTCTCGGTAGGTTTTCGTCACTTTTTTGTTGAGCTTTGATAATGACATCTGCACCCCTACCTACGAACGGCTGTAGAGACATGTTCCGCTTGCATCTTGAGCACAGTCAAAATCCACACAGTAGTCGACGATCATTCAACGCCAAGAGACGGAGATGGTAAGGACACAACTTTCGGCGAGGGAAACGTGAAAGATACCCAGCATCGCACGAACGATTGTCATGGAAGAGATCAGGAGGATTTGCGCAGGGGGTTTACTCAATTTACTCAATCAAGTGACTTCGTCCATCGCTTTCCATATGACCTCGTTTCGTACCTTACAGCCGCCGCCAGATTTGCCTACACAACCATATTCAAGCGCTTGAGAAACCACATTTAGTTTGTCTTCTGAGGTGGCGAACCGCATCAGCATAGCGTGCGCTGTTGAACATTCGACCCCCCCGTCATCTTGCTCGTCAGCAGTACCGCCAGCGCTGAAACCTTGGGTGATATCTGCGCCGGGATCTTCAGCTAGCCGGGTGAGGACTTTGCATGACGGTAAGGTTGTTGACGTTGCGAGACTTTTGCAAGATGGTGCAATCTCGACCGTCTGACTATCGCATCTGTATTGACGAGGGTTTTGAGCAGGTAACTGGTCTTCTAAGGGAGGAGTGTCCAATTGAATAATTTCTTGGGAGAGTGCAGGCTGCGCCTCACGATGCACACCAACCTAGCGACCACGTTGGTGTTAGTCACGAATACGATCTCTGAAAACGTGCAACCCACCATCTGTCCACTTCCTGTGGCTCTTTGCTTTTCACCACTGGGAAACTCCTGTGGTGGTTGCTCGATCGCGCCAGGCGTCCAGGTCTGAATCATATAATCATTGACCCCGAGATATCGAAGCAAGGCCTTCAACCGCGCATTGTCTTCAACAACTCTCCTTGCACTCTGCTGGACTTCCTTCGTTGCTCGGATACCGCTATCCTGGAGCTCATTCAATCTGGCCTCCAGACTAGCTGTGTATTCTTTCTGCTTCTGTCTGCTTCGCCGCTTGTTGTCTCGGAGATTTCTCGTGCTGGGGAATGGTGGTGATGAGAGCTGGAAACACTTGGCAGCATCTAAACTCGTCTCCAAGGGCCCTACTATCTTGGCGCTCCTAGTGAATGACCGTGCGGCTTAATGTCACCATAAGCTACCATGTACCATAGGGGAGGCGTGAGCCAATCATCTCCTGCCTGTCCGTCCCTCAACTAATCGTTGCAAGCCACCGCGATATCGGCCAATAATATCTTACCTGTCCGTCCCTGGCAATCGGCCATTGACTTCGTTCACCTGTGTCGAGACATATATATTTCCTGACTTTTATAGACTTGTTCTGAACCTACAGCCCCAAGTGCAGACCTCGCATCTCTAAAACACATCAAGATTCCAAGATGGCTACTCCCTCACCCTCGATGGCCGACCCAATTGATACGATGGAAGCCTCTGAAAGCCCAGGCAACTTGACTGCTCTAAAGAACCAGCACGATGTCGAAATGCAAAATCGTATTGAAAAAGAAGAATTAAATACTTCGTCAACAGACACTGCAGAGAATTCCGCCTCAGGTCTCGAAGACAATTCCAAAGTCCCTCGCCTTCCTCTCCTAAAACTCTTCTGGTTTTTCTTCAACAATTTTGGACTATTCGCCTGGGGCGGCCCAGTCGCCCAAATCGCCCTCATCAAAGAACGACTCGTCATTCAAGATGAATGGATAACCCTCGAACGGTTCCAACGCGTTTTCGCCGTTTACCAGGTTCTTCCTGGTCCAGAAGCGGCAGAGTTGTGTATGTTCTTTGGATGCTTGTCTGCGGGACGACTCGGTGGCATTGTTGCTGGGTTGGCATTTATCCTGCCAGGTTTCGTGTTAATGTTGTTGGCGAGTTATCTATATTCATTGGCTGGATTTGAGAATGTTTATTTCAATGCGTCGTTCAAGGCGCTGCAGCCTATTGTTGCTGCAACTGCAGTATTTGTGAGACGAATTGGGTAGCGATCACAGTGATACTGTAATAAAGTTAGCATGCTACCAACGGAGTAGTCAGAAACGTGCATTCATCCTGGGAGGGAATTGCCAGAGTGGTCTTCATTGATAGTGCGAGGAAAGGAGCAGCAGGAGGAAAGAAATGACTATCTCATAAAGGTGCTTGAGAATGCAAAGAAGGATTTGCATAATAGGCGCGGCCACAGTAGGAGAGAGTCAATGGGAAGTTCGATATCGGGAACATAGATGGGGGTGGGTCTGAGCCGGAAGAAGCGTCTTCGGACTTTGCCAGTTATCGCCAGAATAGCCATTGCGTTCTAAACTCTGTAGCAGGCACTAATGGAATGGACACGGCTTGAGTCGAGATTGCCCGCGCGCGTGTTTCTTCTGCTTAGGCATATGATGATCAACAATTGTGCATTTCCTCCCTCCATGACGTACTATTATCCCCCCGCCCGCCACATCGTTGCGGAGTTATATATGTCACCATTCTTCCATTACCTTCTAAAGCCTTCCACCCCCAAGTAAGAGGAGGGAGAGAGGTATGGAGGGAGGGAGAGAGCGAGTGATGGGGAGTCTAACCACCACTAGCGCCGAGCAATGAACTCGCGACGAAAGGGCAGGGCTGCAGGCCACCATGGAAACGACTGAGTTTCTAAGGTGTGTCGTGCTGCGGCATCTAACCACCGCGTTCTGACGACTCCAGCCGGGTTGCCTCACTATTGTCGATCTCTGTTGCCCATGAGTCACGCCGGAGGCTTGCTCTCCCAATTCCTCGAGTAGTAGTGGTTCTGCAACTCGTATGCGACTCAGTAGGGGCTGATCCTCCGGAGCATGACTACAGTTATTGGTGAGTAAGCCGTCTTTTCTTCTCAGCATATCGCTTCTTTTCTTCACGGGTTCTGCGGGTTCACGCGGGCAGGGACTTCGTGGATCTTATTTGTAGCCTCCATGTTGACTTCGTAAAGGCCGTAATCCGCCGCGCCCACTCCTAGCCAAGAGGCGCGATTCGGTGGGAGGGCGTTGCTACCGACTATAGTAGTGCTCTTAGAGATATCCGAGGCGAAAACGACCGAGGGGCTGATGATGAAATTGGGCGGACGACTGCGACGTAATCCGCTGTACACTTTATCGATGAGGGGCTTCAATCCGGGAATGGAGAGGGCAATGAGCGTCCCACCGATCTCGGCGTTTTCTATTGCGAGCATGGGATCGTAATCCCATGAGCTGTCCGGGCTCCACTCCCCTTCTACCACGAGGTAGACACGAACAGTTGATATTATAATGACACTGGAAGAGTCCTGTTAGCTTGTATAATAGCCTCTGAGAGATAGCATAATGGGAAGACAAGAAATGAAAGGAGATTACTCACAGCACTCCGGGCAGAAGAACAAGGTACAAATGAAGCTTCCTACTAGGGGGAAGCGAAATAGTACGTATCAGGCCGACAGGAATCGCGAACATGAAAATGTCACAAAGGAGAGAAAGGCCGGAATTGACAGTGTAGACCAGCCCCCATCTTAGGCAGACGTAGTCCCCTGACCTCAGCTCCCACGGATAGGGCCACAGCCCCGTTACTGGTTTGCAGTGGAAGATGATGAGGCACATCTGTGGCAGGTAGGCTGCGGTAAGGAGCACCAGAGCGCATTTGATCGCTAGAGACAACCGGCCATGGAGCTCACAGAGCCGACGATAAAAGGCGAGGCCTGAGAGTCGGCAAAAGAACAGAGCGGTTGTGTAGATAAGGTGGGCAGAGAAATCCAACACTTCGCTCTTCTCAGTTTGGCTTGGCGTCATTACATATTCGATGTACTGGAGATGTCTCCCTGTCCCTATGTCGATGAGGAATTCGGCAAGAACGATAAACGCGATTTGGAGGAGCTAGATCTCTCACATCAGCATCGTTCTAGGTATACGAGGGAGGGAGTGCATACTAGAGATAGGGCCGCAAAAGCATCATCAATGCCCAGACGTCTCACGCTCCATCGTGAAATAAAACGCAGTGAGAGGATGACGATTGTGAGGATTCCGACGAAGAGGATGGCTATCTTAGCTGGACGGTCGCGATTCTCCATCAGATATTCGGCGGTGATCCAGAGAGGTATGTCCGCTGACTGAATTGTCGCAGTGACCGCCAGGTCCACGGTCATGTCGATGACTCGTAGGACGCCATGTGCAGAGCTTCAGAGGGGGATTAACGCACACGACCCTCAGCGAGGGACATTCCTGATTTTTGTATCGGCTCGTACGACTGCGGAGTATCACGAAAGGCGAATGAGGCGAGACATAGCTAGGGTCAATGTTGACTCAGCTATGCCACGGCTGACTGCGATTCCTCGTAGCGGGGACTGAGAGTGGAGGGCATGGGAATAACGGGGATGCTGGAATAACCAAAAATAACTGGAAATGGGAAATGTAAAGTGGGAAAGGGAAAAGCTGTGGCATAGGGTTTGGGAATGGCCGAACAGTGGCTTTCCCAGGTCTGGTAGCTGTGGTTGTACGGAGTGGGGTGTCATGTGGAGTGCTGAATGAAACACATCTGCATGTGTAAATAATGCAAAGACACTCCGCTGATGTTTCAATGTGAGACCAATACAACCCATTATCAAGATCAATATTGGATTTTCACCTCTGTAAGTTAAGTTAGTAGCGTGCTTGATGAAGACATAGTAGGCGTACTTTTTTGTAGGGATACGAATCGCTCAATGGATTGTTGAAAGATGGCTCACACCGAGCGCCAGGAGAACAAAAAGTACTGGGAAATGCACCTAGGAGCCGAAAGACAGTACTTTGGGAGTATCGCGTTACGAGATCGGAATTCAACGTATTGGCCAGCCTGGTCGGTAAGATCTGACATCAACTTACCCTGATCGCAACACGAGCAACAATACAATCTACCAAGTCATTCATCTGGTTGAAATTTTAGCTATTAGGGTACGAGAAATAAATTTTGTAGACATGGATATACATATGAAATGCATCAGCGATAAGGGTGAGTGAGTGTGTAAAATCCGACTGGAAGGCAGGGTCAGCCAAGAATAAGAAAGATATGCCGATATTGATTACCAAACGCTGCGTCTGAGATAGTTTTGCAGCCATGAATAATAATGAGCAGAAGTCGAATGTTAATGAGAAAGTCTGCTATAAGAGATAGTTATTTAAACTGGCGCGCGAGCTAGCCCCTATGTGCTCTACGCTTAGTGGGGTCAGGAACACCCCCTGCCACTTTATTCTGGCAGTGCGCAGCACCCTCAACGTCAGCATTTTCCTCTTCTGAAAACAACCACTCTTACAAAGATTAACAACACCATCTACAAATACTTGCAACTTCTTCCAAAATGTCAGGCATTCTCAACAAGATCACTGACCAACTTTCTGGACAAAAGCAAACGAATACCCCTTCTTCCGGTTCTTCTGCGATCTTACACAAGGTCACCGATGCTGTGACTGGGCAAAAGCATCCTCAAGATTACCAGAATCAACAAACTGCATACAATAACACTCCGGGATACAATGAAGGGCAATATGGTGGATATCAAGGAGGATATAGAGGGAACAGAGGTGGTCATGAAGGGTATGAAGCAGGGGGATATGGTGGACATGAAGGAGGAGGATATGGAGGGAACAGAGGCAATCATGGGAATGAAGGGGGGGGAAATGGTGGACATGAAGGAGGAGGATTTGGCTGGAACCAAGGGGGGCATGGAGGGTATGAGGGTGGAGGATATAGCGGGAACAGAGGTGGGCATGGCGGCTATGAAGGACATGGTGGGAATAGAGGTGGGCCTGGAGGGTATGAAGGGCACGGCGGGTATGAAGGACATGGTGGGAATAGAGGTGGGCATGGCGGGCCTGGAGGGTATGAAGGGCACGGCGGGTATGAAGGACATGGTGGGAATAGAGGTGGGCATGGCGGGTCTGGCGGTAATGGACATGGCGGGAATCATGGATATAGTGGGCATTAACAGCATTAGATAACAGCTTAGCTCAGTTTATCTTGGAATCTACGAGCGTTCTCACTTGTCGTATGCCCTTCTTCGCGGTGGTCCAATGTTCTGAGAGAAACCAGAGTTCTGCGGCACGATCAAGTAGGCTCTGAGCTTACGTTTAAATATCACTTTCCTTGGTCCTGCTACTTCCCTCCCTCAGAAAAAGGTTAGTAGAGTCACATCAACATGCAAACGTCTACTTCGGCTGGCGTGAGCCAGAGGACCTGCTCTCGTGGTGCATGTGCAACCCGTCTACACGAAATCAAATGCTGCGATGGTAAATGCTTCTATTGAATTGCTTTAACGTCCTTCTAAGTCTGGCGCTCACCTGCCTCATCTAAATTGCACGCTGCAACTGCTGCTGCGAGCCGAGCCATAGCTAGCAAATTGACACGAAGCCTTCTCGCGACGTGCCTAACGATTGTGCCACCCCGCTCCATCTGATGAGGAGCCACGAGGAGGCGTATACCGGGATCTTGGAAAACATCGGCTGCATCTGCAAGGTGTTACTATCACTGAATCTCGATTCGGGCTGTGCCTCCCCTCAGGTCACGCTATGAGCGTTCGACCACGTCCATTACAAAGGGCTCCATGTCGTATGCTCCATCGTCAGCCACAAATTTTTTACAAGTGCAATAATACTCCTTCCTCTCTCTCACCCCTACGTCCCTGCTCATCCCTATCCTCCTTCGTGCCAACCGGCAAAAAAAAAACACCCGTCGGCTATACAATATTCTCACTTTTCTCTACCTCCTTGTCTATCGCCATCACCTTGTTACCTTTGCTCCCATCCGCATATTGCACATTACCGGGCCGTCCTGCCCCAGAATCCTTTAGAGGCCACAGGCAAGTGATATCTTCCGAGCAGGAGTAAGAGTCTGTTATGCCTGCGTGCGATGTCGATGTCGCTGTCGAGGGCGTCGATGCTGGCATTTTCGGAGGTGTCTGCTTCGGGGTGGGGGAGGGTGGTGTTGCGATCTGGTAGGGAGATATCAGCTGGCTACTCTTAAATTGGCTCGAATCCCTAGGGATTTAATGTAGGGTAACCTTTACTGAGAGGTTCTCGGAAGCCAGTATAACGGTTCAGTACCTTTACTTCTTTCGCAGATGGCGGGTTCTGGACGTTGGGATTCATTATTGTGATAAATAAAGAGGCGCGGCGTTTAAGGATTGCATTTGAAGTTCGAAGGAATAATAACGATTTTGTGCTATCAGAAGATGTACTAAGTATGTAGAAGAGTTCGCTGAGCATCATTGATGATCTTTGTATGGGGTGGCACGCTGGCTAATTAGCCTTGCATACACGCGCGTTTTGTGCGTAGAGTAGCAAATCAATCCACTTCCCAAGGCAAGTATTACCTTCTCAGCCAGAGGCATTTGTGCGTAATTTAGCGTACTGGGGGTCAGAGGCATTTGTGCGGGATTTGACGCTCTCGACAACTGTTGCAACGATTACGGCACGCACGAATCTAGACTGGTCCCTTATTTGCAGCGCACATATAGCGCATATTGCTTAGCCACACCCTCTGTAAGTATAACCTGTCCTAGCGTTCCTGGATTAATAGCCTTTCAAGAAAGGGTGGGGTACTCACCTTCAAGTTAAATATTAACCTCATCCTACGTCAACCTCAACTTCTAAATTCTTTTTGCGTCCCTTGATTCTATATTCACAAACCAAGTGCTGATTTTATCCATTCCACGCGACCACCACAATGGCTACTTCCGAACACATCTACAAGTTTAGCATTAGCATGAGCTGTGGAGGTTGCTCGAGTTCTGTGGAACGTGTGATCAAGGAACTCAATGGTCCGCGCTTGTCTCTTGGCTTCATGCGGGTATCACTACTATTAGCTGACTCTGAACAAACCTAGGCCTTCGTTCCTACGAGGTTTCTTTGACCGAGCAAAGGGCGACCATCGTCGCCGACCCTTCGCTCGAATACACCACGGTTCTACGGGCGATTCAGAAGAGCGGTAAAAAGATCATCTCGGGCGAGGCAGACGGTGTTTCGATGAGTATCGAAGTGGAAGAGTAAACCTGAGCAGAGGAGGGAAGGAGGATGAGCCTTGATGGACGCGCTTAAGGATGTCGTGGAGTACTTCAGCTCGAGATGCCTAAGTGTATCAAATGTCAAATTATCACTGACACCAGGTTCCTGTATTCCGATGTGATTATATATGTGAAATACTTTGCAGGTTGTTGTGTCCGAAAGGATGGACGAAGATCGTGGAACCCTGGTAGTAACTGCTGACAAATCATCACATGGCTTGTGGCGTTTCGGCCAGTCTACTCGACTGAATGGTCATCAGTAATTCGATGCCACACTGCCGCATAGCAAGACCGAATACAGCGCCAACATGATAGAACCCTCCGTTCTCTGCTCTGCTTTCCCTTCACAACTACAGTTTACGAGTCCTACCATTAGGTATGTAATGTAAACAGGCGCAGCGCTGTGCGTGCCAATAAAGTTGCGCTACGAGAGCACTGCGCTAATTGTGCGGCTTTTAGCGGGTGGTAGCCTAATCGTGCGGCACTTCTGCGGTTTTTAGCGTTGTATGGTGCATCTAGACTAGTCCCATGGGGCCTAGGTTGAACCTCTATTCTCCATTTGGCTACTCGACGATATAATCTGCGATAGTTGTGCCTGCTTATAAAATTTAGGAAAATGTCCATGACATGACAAAATTTTATAAGCAGGCACAAGGAACGTTTCCTCCCCTCACGAAAACACCGTCCATATTACAAGTGCATTTCTTTGTCGTACGACTTCCGCAACTGTCGTATCAAAGTTCATAATACCTCTATCATGGCTCTACAACATGCCGTATCTACCGTTGACAACCACCAGCAAACAGTAACTTCCACTTTCCTGATTCCTAATCTTCACTGCCCTACTTGCGTGACCACTGTCGCTTCATCACTGGCCCTACTTCATCCCAATCCTTTGGACATATCTACTTCTATCCTTGCACATTCTGTCACCGTCCGCCACGATCCGCATTTATCGGTGTCGACAATTACGAAGGCACTAGAGGATGAGGCTTTCGAAGTCTATAGCATGGGGCAGAACGTGAGTGAGGATCATGACATAGCCGATCTCGACCTGGAGAAGGGGTATGGGCCTCGAGGGACGGGAAGCAGTGCGGCGCTTAGGCGGTGGTCGTTCAGCCAGATAACGGCCACAAACAAGAGCGAGAGAGAGATACGGAGACATGTTGAGCGGTGCGGGCAGTGCCAAGCTGAAAAGAGGGAGATGGAGGAGAATAGGCAGGCTCCTCTCCTACCCGACGACTCGAAGGTCGAAAATGCTCGAGGAGTAGAGCCCAGGAAGGAAGCAGCTAGGCCCAGCCTGGGTGGCGACTCTGCGGCTGCAGCTATTCCTGTGGTTGTGACCGACTCTTCGTCTCCCGCGCCGAGTCTTCTCTAAGCCTCCCTTTCGATCGGCGGTATGACATGCAGCTCTTGCGTAGGAACCATATCTGATGCGCTTCGTCGATACGGATGGATCCGCTCTGTGAACATCAACCTTCTCAACAACAGTGCGATTGTGTTGTTCAAAGGCAGAGAGCATATTCTGAATATTATTGAGGCGATCGAAGATTCAGGGTACGAGGTGACAGTAGAGCACATTGACGGCATCCAAGCGCTAACGAAGACTCGTCCGCGATCTCTAAACAGCTTCTGGCGAGCTACCAAGGATTTGACAATCGGTTTGAATCCCATGGTGATTGCGTGGCACAGACGCTGGTTGGAGAGCTTCCCCCGCCCTCAAGTCCTCCCATGCCATTCATGGGTACTCCGATAACTCCATCTGAACAGAACGACTTGCGTTTCTGGAGCAAATGTTGAAGTACTTGAGCAGGAGCACTGCGGCTTGGGAACTGGCTAGCGAACAGAGTATCACTGGTTGGCGGAGATTGCAAGTAGGCCTCGACATTATCGTCCCCAATGCCATGAACCAATAGAAGCCCTCGCAGTTTCCGGTTTTCGTCTGCTACCTTCCTTGCAGCTATTTGAATCTCTACCGAAGTTTCGATGCCGTGGAGTTCGTATTGTCGCAAACGAGCCTCGAGCTCTTGGAGGTACTCTTTCCGGCGTGCCCGGGAACGCCGTTGATTGTTTCGAATGCGCGCAAGGTTGGCCTTCTACCGCTACATCATAAGGAATCATAACAAGTGAGGTAGAGTGTGTGAGAGAAAGACTAGCTTACCGAAGCGGGTATCATGGTGATGTTGTTTGTCGGGACAACTGGAGAGAATTGTTCGACAGTTGGTTTGGTCGTTGTCGAGCGGGGATGGATCAGTAATGATAGGGAAAGATGTAGTAGCTTGTGCCGTCCGGAGCTAGATATCTTATATAATACAGGTACTGTATAATGTCCTCCACGTCATTGAGAAGGTCGACTCTCCTTCTCCCTCTGACTTGAAGCATCTTTGAAACCTCGACAGGATGTATACAGGGACGAGCACTTCGCTACAATGAATGGTATGAAGTCATTCTGATTTATATACCGAATCTGGGAAAATTATTGAGTGATTTGTGCCTGAGCGACTTGTGCGTGGAAATGACGACGCGGCTAATCTAGACTCCCGCGAATCCAAACCCTAGGTTTGGAAAGCCCCTGTTTCGACCGAAAGCTTTTTGCACTAGGATCCGCTTCGGCAGCCCCTTCTTCCCAACTTTTGAACTTGATTGGCCTTATGGCTGTGCCGTACAAAGCCCTCAACCGCCGATCTTCCACTTAGTAACATTTTTCGAAGCGACGCCTTCGGCATATGTTACGAATAACGAGCAAGTACCTTCTTACCAGTCTTTATATTACAACTAAACATGAAATAACCTTTTGAACCTTTATCATAATGTTACCCAATCCGCTATTTTCAGCCTGTGTGCTTCTGGTGTGCACTGGAGCTGCATCTGCTGCTCTAAGCAAATTAGCTATTCGATGGTAGTTAATTTGATTTTCTTGTGAAACGGCAATTGAGAGACGTAGTGCTCACAAGAAGAGTATAATGATTGTGTTAGTAAACAACGTATGATTAGCTATACTCCGCACAAACGCGATTCGTGTCACTGTACGAAACTTGTCACTACATGCCAAGCACGCTAAACTCCGCACAAATAGCTCTAGCGGATTTACTCTCCTTTGCGCTAAATTCCACATAATCCACGCAATTACTACCAATCCTGGGATTGTGTACTACAAATAAGCTTGTGTTCAAAACTAGTGACTTTGAATTCATGGTGGTCAACTGGGCCTTGTAGACTACTACTCTAATGAAGATTATTACCCAATTCAGTAGTACTATGAGAAGTGAAAGAGGTATAAAAACACACCACCAATGAGTAAAAACCAAAGACCTGCGCCAGTCTAGATTCCCTCGCCCCCGGATTCGTATATCGATACTTTAATATCACGAGCCTCGGAGATCTAACAACAGTATAAACCCTCGGTTACTGCTTCCTCGACAGTGCCACCCTTCACGGACATCCTCTTATGAGTGGCTGCAATCCGGATCCTTTTGCTTGTCTGTACATGAAAGTCTCGGTATGGAGGGCTCTGATGGCCGTGGGAATGAAGTTCCACCACTTCGCCCAGCCTAAACCTCCCTCCCCTGACTTCGAGATCACCATCCCCTCTAGGCTCTCCACGGGTAGAGGCACTTTCAAGCTGGTCTTCTACGTCCCTCTATCCTACTTCGACCCAGATGGTGACTAACGCTTCCCGGTCGTCGTTAACTTCCACGGCGGCGGATTTACCCTTGGCACAGGAACAGACGATGCACGATGGGCTTCATCAGTAATCCATGAAACTGGTGCCGTCGTCGTTAGTGTGGCCTATCGCCTCGCGCCCGAATACCCCTTCAGCGTCGGAGTCGAAGATGGGACAGACGCTATTATCTTCCTCGCATCTTACGCCAAGGAGCTGAACCTGGATCCCCACCGCATAGCCATCTCTGGCTTCTTAGCAGGAGGAAACTTTGCATTTACGGTTCCCCTCATGTTGTATGACCTGCAATGCGACGTAGGCAAACGCAGGCTCCACAATAACTCCAAGAACCAGTACCGGCCCTCAAACTCTTAAATCCAATCTAGCGGCGCCCGCGTGGCTCAGTCCTACCCTTTAAGCTCTTCACTCAGTTTACCTCGTTCTAATGCCACCTGTTTGATGGTGTTTGGCCACCCTAGAATCAAATTTAAGGATCGGGAACCGGCCGCGCTGGAAACGGCCCTGAAGGTTCCCAATCTAACAATCGTCTGCATCGTATCCTTCTACCCGTTGGTGGATTTCCGGCAATCGCGTGAAGACAAACGTTTGACGAATCCGCAACCGGCAAAGAATATCCCCAAAACCCTCACCAATCTCTTCGATCAATCTTATCAATCCGGGTGCGATCTCACAGATCCCTACCTCTCCCCCGCAGCCGCATCCGACGACCTCCTCGCAGCTGCGTATCCCCAAGATATCGTGCTTTATACCTGCGAATATGATATGTTGAATGCGGAGGGTGTGAAATTTGGCGAGAGACTCAAAGGGGAGGGTGTAGGGAAGACAGCCCATGGCGGTTTGATTAAGGAAGTACCACACGCATTCGACAAGAAACCAAATCCGATTTCATTTCCAAAATCGGCGCATTTTTGTTATGCGGAGGCTTGCGCGGAACTGAGCAGAGTGTTTGGAAGCAAAACCTCGGCAGATCAACAGAAGCAATTGCAGGATGATCTGACCGCGATTAGGTTCCAGAGCGAAGTGGAAGGGGATACAGTTCCTGAGGAGGGTCTGACAAAAACATTATAGGCGCTGGGGGAACGAAATGGAGGAACTCGGCTGGTTGTCTCTAGCGAGGTACTTATTGGGCTGATGGGGAGCGAGGTGCTGTTCGTTCTGTAATGATTTTGCGGGGTGGGGATCTTGGTGCGCTACGCGTGAACTTCAGGCAGGATAATACGAATCGCTAAAATCCCGATATTTTTGTGAGCGAAGGGGGGACTTATAAGCCGGTCTATACGGTATTGCGTGTTGCGCGAATTGCTATCCCTTTTGGCCAAAAGTCCATCGATCAGAGTTCGCGCTATCTCTATTATCTTTCTTGTGTGTCGAGGCCCAGGCCTGACGGGTATCGAGTTAAAGACCTCAGATGCTTCGGCAGAAGTTAAGAGGGTACGCAACAGGTTATCTGTGGTGTCACCTCTCTGTATTGCAGAAAGCATTTACAAGGGACCAACCCTCATTTGTGGTATCAAGTTCCAGGTTCCTTCCCAGAAAGGCCACCGCACGGCCGTAGAAATTGTCACCGATCAAGGCCCAGGCTGACGCGTCAGGTTATGCGCTAGTTTGAGAACATTTCGTCGTCGAACAAGGTTTCCCATGAGCGGGCATGCGCCACACAATTCGCTTATCCTCGCAGGTGGCGCAGCGATGTCATACTGCAAATCCACTTAGCGGAGGGATCAAAAAAAGGCTATGATACTGACAAACTTGCATCCTCTCTAGCCGTTAATGCCTACGTCACGACGGAGTACAGCTACTGCCTTTTTCTCTAGTTCTGCCTCTCTCTCGGCGGAGAATAAACCCTTCGTAATACCTATGAAAGCTGAAGCTGACCACCATCACGCGACATGCCCTAAATTGCAAGCCCCCATCTACCGCAAAAGCAGACAGCCAGCACAGCCCCTTCTGGCACTTGGTCCAGCAGTGTGTACGTCGTACGATGCACAGCCCCAGATCTGGGGTAGTTTCACAGCACACAAACCGCTCAATAGCCTAATTTCTTATGAGTGAATTCAAGCGACATCGCAAACGCCTAATGGTATTGAAACTATATAAGTCGACTAAACCACGTCACAGCATTTGTATAGCAGCGCATTGTGACATATTCCAATCTCAATATTCTATCCACCTCGTTCTATAACTGTAACTGCATACGATGGCCAGCCTTCTAACCAAATTCATGCAGAATGGATCTGGGCAGAATGGATCGAACGGACCACAGCAATCTTCATCTTCTGCTCTCATTCGCAAAATCATGGACACCGTGACCGGTCAACAGAATCGTCAAGATTTCCAGGGCCAACCACCGGCGAATATGCCTGGAAATGCTGGAGTTCTAGGACAAAATACACATTCTTCGGGGTACTTCGCACAACACCACGGGATAGCCCAGCCTCCCGGTTATTATGAAAATAGTAGGAGATTCTACCCTTTCTTACGTTCTACCCTTTCTTACGTTGCTCTTAATGTTAAAGTATTGTTGAACATACTTTTACTGGAGCTGACAGCGAAGGAGTAGGCCACGGTGGAAACGTAGGAGGGAATAGCGGATACCAAGGAGGGTATGGGAATGCAGGAGGGTGTGGGAATTCAGGAGGGTATGGGAATACAGGAGGATATGGGAATGCAGGAGGACATGGGAATACAGGAGAATATGGGAATGCAGGAGGATGTGGGAATTCAGGAGGGTATGGGAATGCAGGAGGATGTGGGAATTCAGGAGGGTATGGGAACGGAGGTGGGTGCGGCAGGCCTCGCAGACACAATGGGTGTTAAGGTGGACAGTAATCGTTGAGGTCAGGCTACGGAGGGCATATTGATATTGAAAGCTCTTGAAGGTAACAATTGTTGTACTTATCAAAGTAGTTATGCGTATTATTTCCAATCTTATTACATCATGTCTCTTGGACTCTGAATCACGGCTAATACCTGTCTTCTTGTTTGCTCTTCCTATGACAATACGCCTGTTCTACGCCGAGATAGTTGAGCATTCTTTTATGCATAGACAAAAAGTAGCGAGATGACTATGATTAAGTGGCTGAAAAAGTCACATCTAAGCGTGTAGTGTTTATCTGCGCGGTCACACTTTGCGCGCATGACAGATTGGCAGAAAGAAGCGCAGTTGAAAGCCGCAATCGTGAGGACTTTACGCTGTTACAGCTTTGTTGGGGACTTAGGTAGACTAAGCTACACGACATCAAGTCGTCGGTATGTTTTCATGTCAATTAGACAGTCTCAACGACATGGGCATGATCGCCCTCTGAAAGTTGAAACTCTGTCCTCTAAAGTCGATGCTTTCCGCCATCAGCGCTATAAGCCAGATACGGGAGGAAACTTTACTCATGCCTCCGGACCACCCATGGTTGCCCTGATCACTCTCACCGATAAGAGTCTGCGCATAGCTGGGTTATAGGTCTTCCCTCCTTGTTGGTTCAACATTGATCAAAGGATTGTCGGAGCGGCCTGGTGTAGGAGACTGGCGGGGGCCACCTTTCTTTAGCTACACCTGATGTCTTTTGAACGTCATTAAGAGTAGAGCTTTCAACTGCGGACGCCATAAGGACGGATTATTAGGCGTTGATGGTGGAAATAGGCTCTTAGTGTCGATGGAATTATGATCGCAATGTAGTAAGGTAAGTGGGGTGGGTCAAACGATACCTGTTATTTGTCATGGAGCGAAGAATTCGGTCTGGTCGCGAGTTAAATAGAGTTGTGGTGAGATGATTGATTCAGACTTGTGATTTCGACAACGGTGCTCGGTGTTCTTCTGGCGTGTTGATACGTGTTGATATTAAATGGTGGCTTCTGAGAATGTTATTCGTCGCCCCCTTTAACGAGGCTGCTAAACTCTACTCGAGGTGTGGGAGGACCACAATTACTAACTACGAGACAAATATCTGGTAGTCACGAAAATGCCTTTCATTCTGCCCCCATGCTGTTCCTCTCGGGCTAAACTGGATTAGGCCTGTAGATCCTTTCCCGTCAAACACAGCCGCCACGAGAACTCTGTCGTGGCAGGTTGCGGCATTTGTGCGGGTTTGGGAAAAGGTCCCTACGTGTCTGTGGTCTGACAATTTGTCACGCAAACTCCCCTTCACCAGATCATTAAGAAAGCACCATCCTCTCCTATCACATAACAAGAACATTACGGCGTTGTTTTTATTGTACAACAGCACCCACAGCAGCACTAAGCACCACCCAAACATCATTACGATGTCGACAGAAGAGAGATCAGCTCTGTAAGCCACTGTCACATAAATGTTACCCCACCCGCTCTATAACAAGAACACGCATACTCCTGTATTACTGCTCTACTATCTACGATGGAAACGACGATGGGGCAGAATATATCCTTACTGCGCGCAAATGATTACAGTCGAATTTTTACCACACTTATTTGGCCTATATGCTAACCCTTTATTTCTAGCCTCCGGTTGGGATCCATCGCACCTAACTTCAAGGCCGACACCACCAACGGTCCGATTGATTTCCATGAGTTCATCGGTGACAAGTGGGTCGTGTTATTTTCTCACCCAGAGGACTACACTCCGGTCTGCACCACCGAGCTAGGCGCTTTCGCCAAGCTTGAGCCCGAATTCACTAAGCGTGGAGTCAAGTTGATCGGTCTGTCTGCAAACACCGTCGACTCTCACAGAGGATGGATCAGGGACATAGACGAGATCTCTGGCAGCAAGCTGGCCTTCCCAATCATTGGCGACAAAGAGAGAAAGGTTGCGTTTGCCTATGACATGTGATTACTCCATCCCCTCGACACATAAGTTCCCGAGCTGACACATTACCTGCAGGCTCGATTACCAGGATACAACGAATGTCGATCAGAAGGGCATCGCTTTCACTATTCGATCCGTCTTTATCGTCGACCCGACGAAGACTATTCGCCTCACTCTCTTATACCCAGCTTCCACCGGCCGCAATACCGCCGAGGTCCTCCGCGTTATTGACTCCCTCCAGACCGGCGACAGGCATCGCATCACAACTCTCATCAACTGGATCCCTGGTGATGATGTTATCGTCCACCCAAGTGTCAAGAATGACGAGGCTAAGCAGTTGTTCCCTGAGTTCCGCATTGTCAAGCCATACCTCCGATTCACACCTCTGCCAAAGGAGACGACTTCAGCTGCTGTCTAGATTGGAGGTTCACTGAGGGGAGGACAATGAAGGTCACGCGAGGAAGATACGGGCTTATTTATGAGGGGGAATTATTATACGAGACCCTGGTATGTGAGTAGATTCATATGACTGGCTAGATCTTCTATTCGCCCCTGTCGAAGCTAGGCAGTAAGCGAAACCGAATTCTATTACAGTACGGGGGTACTTCGCGTACTATTAATTCGTGCTATGTTACCTGCAGTACTGTTACTTTCCTGTATCAATGAATGGCATCTCTAGCAGCTGCTTCTTTTGGGGGGGGGGGTTCACAGCATCCTTGGCAGAGGCCTCTCGCGGTGGTTCGACGTGGTATTTCTCGGGGCATAAAGCTGAGAGGTAACAGTTAACTCATCGACGGGTGAAATCAGTCTGTCACGAGGGCCACGAGTGGGCTCGATTCTTCGATTCTTGATTAAACTGCTATCTGTTACCATCTCCTTTCTTTATGCTATTGAGCCACAATAATAATTCATTATAATATATTTTAATAATTATATACTAAGTTACATAACTATAATATAAATGCATTGTGATTTCATTATTATAAGGGGGTAGGTTAGATATATTAAGGTTACTAGAATACCTGAAAGTCGGTATTAGTAATTAAGTCAAATGTGGTAGTCGGTATTTGTAAAAAGCCGTATTTCCTATCTGTCCTCTGCGGTATTTTCCTGGGGAGTCTTGCGGTGGGACGTTATGGAGCACTAAATGAAATACATCTACATGCGTAAGGAGCAAGAGCAAGGTCCTTAAGGCGAGAACAACCACCCACGTGGTCTACAAACTGATCTGCTAGTATAATTTCATTCTGACATTGTTCAGCTACGATAGGACTTTACATTTCAAACCCCGAAAATTCTCCTAGTCTTTCACATAACGCGCTGCTCTGATCGAGCTATGCCGTCCTATAATTTTGTGCTTGCCCCCAATTCATTTACACTAGCACCTATTAGATATGTCACTCGAAAGAACCGTGGAGGATAACGTACCCCGCAGGACGAACAGTTGCAGCCCTCCTTGGCAAAATTTTTGAATATAATCCTCGAGCAACTGAGGGTACAAGTGTTCGAGTCGACCACGGTCTGTCAGCAACTCATTCCACAGGTACCGGCTTGGGGTAGCGGTATCGTAGCGCTCAGATGTAACATACGAACCCCACTGATTATTGAGATCATGGGTCGGGATGTGTGCAGCCATTCTCCTGCTCCCTCCTGAAGACTGCGCTGTGGTTATGCGGACGAGGCAAAGGATCCCACGAGGGAGAATCTGCACCTATATATATGGGAAATTAGCGAAAGGTGGAGGGAGCCAGTGATCAAGGGACGACTGACCCTGGCATAGGTTATGTTTTGTTCCGGGTCTGACGTAAGGCGGCCAAGTCGTTGCCGCCTGCGGGTAGGACAAGCAATCCAGATGGATCAAGTACCATTCAGGCTCCAAACCAATCAAACGAGAATATTACTGTCACGGATTATGGTTGCCACTGGGGAGCAAGGGTATGACATGTACGATGGCCACCGGTGAAGGAGCCCGAACGGCCGTAGCCAGACGATTGGCCGACTGGAAGCGGCCGTACCTGAGTCCCCTGAGTACGCAAAGAACTGGGATGACCTAACAGACGAAACTAAACGTTTGTTCGCCCATGAAGCGGCACAGGATACTGCCGATCTCTACGCAAGCGCACTGTTAGCGATCCACAGGAGGCATTTCTGCCATTGCCATAGTAGGCAGCCGCGCACGACAGCCCTACAACAGAACTCACGACGCCGTTGGAATATTTCATTAAGAGAACGTGAGGGAAAGGACTAGTGCGGTAAGGACGCGCGCGATGGTTGATTGATTCGAGTGGACGTCAGAAGGGTTTCGGTGCCGCCGAACAGGGATCGTTGCTCCAAGAGGCAGTCGCTGGGACTCAGCATCCTGGTCGACAGACCCTTCAGGCATGAGTCGCTCAAAGATGACCCATGTAGATCATTATGCCACGCGCGAACAAACGAAAGGCTCTGCGATGTTTCCGCCGGGCTGACAAGCTTGACGTTTGTCCAATCACACGCGTGGCGACTGCGGTATTTGTGCGTCGCCTTAAGCCCATCGAGAGGCATAGAATGCGATAGATCTACGGAGGTACAGCCTATAAGTAATGGATATTGCACTAGTATTAGCGTAGTGTATTATTCCTAATTGAGTAGTCGCGTCTCAAATTTGCTAACCGTATCAGTACTAGTGAGCATGAAGATTCACGGCGAATTATAAAATCATAGAGTTTTAGACTGAAGCTGGTTTCGAATGTTACTGTACAATAATTCCAGTAAAGGAGTTTATATTAACCTAATCATGAGCGCCAGCCACACAAATCCAAATCTTGTACGTGATCCAGGGAAATGTTCTGACAACTGCAATTTACATTCCGTAGCGAGGGTTACGTGCCTACCTGAAATTACAGCGCCAGAATTGGACTTTTGAACGTTGGCCGTCAACTTAGGCTCCCTGACGATCTACCCTCTTTATAACGCCGAAAAGGGCGTTGCAGAGCTCGCGTTAATAATTAGCCGCCTATGTACAGTAGTATTAGGCACTTATTTGAGAGCAGATTATCCAGCACTTTTGGAAGAGGTTTACCGCCAGTTTTGGAGATGATTTCTTGGGGCCATTCTTGGAGGCGAAGGGAAGCCAAATTTGACTCGCTGTATTCTGGTTCCTATTTTAGCCTCAAAAGCATACTTAAGTATGGCCTTGCCAGCGGTTTGGGGGTCACCCAGCCCTTCGTAATAGGAACCATCATGAACGAGTCCCGTATAACACGAATGGTAGCCCTCCCAGCCTGGCTGCCCAGATCACTACCCTCTCACTTGTGAGGTTCGTGCACATAACATGTCAGGCGAGGACCACGCCCATAAAATCCCAAGCCGGCAAAAGACGAACAGCAATAGTGGAGCGTTCATCAAAATGGCTGTCGCAGAGAAGAGTACTTCGATATCAAGCAGAGCCCACCTCCCCACTGCTACGAAGCGCCAAAACGAAAATCTAGCAAGGCGGATTGAGACTCTCTTTGTCAAATCCCACGAGATATGGGAGATCTATGGCGTCGACGTGGCGGTGATTCTCAGGAAGAACAGCCAGTACTCCACCTACAGGTCAATAGACGAACCGAGGTGGTCACACCGATCTCATCCGGGTAAGGCTAGCACAGGATAGGAGGCTACATACCCTCTCCCGAAGAACCTTCTCCCTAGAGATCTCGAAGGCAAAACTGCAAAACGCAAGTCGCTTGCCAACGCCGGAAAGTCGCCGAGTCAAGTAGATGCCAGACCATCTAACTAGAAGGGTGGATCATGGATGCGTAGGGAAGTTATCTGTGGCAAAGGGCAGGAGAAGGGGGTACTCGGTGATTCAGAGTAATTATATAAATAACGACCTATGTCTAGAGGTCATAGATACTTCCTGTTCATCTCAAGTCATACTCATGCTCCGCCTTTGTGAGGTAGTGGGTGTGCGAAGCCCTAAGCACAGGAATTCCCGGTCCCCAGGCGGCCGCGTCTTTGCCGGTGGCCTGCCGGCGCGCCGTGCCCGCCCCAAGCTCCGGTCTTATGCTGTAGCGCTGGCTGCCTGCCTATCACTGGTTCTCCCCTTGTCCCCGTGTTCTGACACTAATTCCAAGTAGCGTTAAGCGAGTTTATTATTCTTATACGCACGGCTCTAGGACTAGAAAACACAGAAATATAACCACCTTACAGCAAACAATTGCAAATCTAGCAGATGCTTTCCAGTGCCACGAACCACACTAAGGACAGATCCTGCAGTGCGCTAAGGACCCTGCGCTCCAGTTCGCACCCTTAGCGCATCTTCCGAGGGTGGTGAGTGCGAGACAGATTGTCGGTGGCCGTGCGTTTCAAACCGATAACTCTCTTGATTGCCTCTGCGTGGAGTTTCGCTGCAGATTCAAGCATCCTATCATCGATGGCAAGCTCGTCTTCTGTGATCAGGAGGATGGTGTGTGTCCTATCGTTGATAATTGCCTGAAAGCATTCCTCGGGACTCACCATTCGCAGGTTTGTGTTGAAAGCTCTGACACCTCTCGTCATGTAATCGTTGACTAACGGTTCGATGTTAGACGGATTCTCTGGATCGACTGCGAGCGGTGTCAGGTATTTCTAAGAATCGTCCTCCCATCTGACAATGTTGATATTTATCTCTCTCTCCAGCCTTTCCCTCTCCAGCCGCTCCTTCTCGAGCCGCTCCTTCTCCAGGCGCGCTTCCCTTCGCATGCCCTGCCGTTGGTGAAATGCCAGTCAGGTTCTCTTTCAATTCTAACATGTTCCAGGCCCTTTTCCTTCTGGCATAAATGCCCCCGGTTTTCCCGCCTGCTACACATCAGTCGCAGCTCTGCCTCCATTTACATTGGCCTACGAAGAATGGATTATCTCTCTGCCAACGAAGACCTACCACCCTCGGATTCAACCACTGCTGACGAACTGGAGCACAATGTTTTCATCAGGGACAACCGTATGACGAGAATGAACTTCGGCGACGGCCTTAAGCTCGACAACAACGAACGAGTCTCTACTCTAGGGGAGAGCGTCATTCCGGGCTCTGCTTCGCTGATCTCAAAGAAGAGGAAGGCTGTGGTACGGCAGGACGATGAGCATGGACAACGCCCCGATGCAGAAACCTCTCTCAAGACAGCCACTAAGCCTGGCCTCAGGGACCTACAGGTCGTGAAAGCCGCCCAGAGCGGTGCTAGCGTGCTTGACCGCACAGTCCAGTTCGAATCGCCATGGCACCGCTTCTGTGAGAAATTCGAACTGAACCTTGGCGGATATGTCTCCATCGTAGCCGATCGATCTCCCCCCTACGATATCTTCATGGTGAAGCGCCTGACGGGACCTGATGCTGTCCAGAAGGTCCGTATGCTACAGAGAGTGCGGCACCAGAACTTCCACAACATGGTTGACTGCTTTAGCTCTGAAGGCTCGCACTATGCAGTCTTTCAGCACCTTCCTGTCACGCTTGCTAATATCGTGTACTCGCCTCCATACCCTACTGAGCGTGAGCTGGCGGCAGCACTGGCACAGGTGCGTCCTGACAACAATGATGGGTCGACTTGCTGACAGGTACAGATTGTCAAAGGGCTCAAGTATCTCGCCTCGTGCGGGCTCGAGCATGCGTCTCTTAGCTGCTCCAACATTCTCGTAGGCACAGAAGGCGATATAAAAATTGGTAAGTTAGTTGCCTGCGCTTCAAGTCCCCATTCTTACACGGCCGTCAGCTGGTCAAGAGTGTTGCAGGGAAATGGCGGTTCCAGGTCGGGGAAGTTCGCGAGATATGGAGGCTCTCATGAGCATAACCATGAAGCTGACGCAGAAAAGCGCCTACAACAAGGGGGCTGGCGGTGCATACGACATGGAGCGATGGCCAGCCGACTGCAAAGCATCAGCCAACTGCACATAGGCAAACCGCTGAAGCAACCCTGTACCACTTACGCCTATAAGACGATACAAAATGTCGAATGCCGCAACAACAGCGTCTTCCGCGCTACGTGCCGTGGCTCTTGCGGACAGAAAGAATATCCAGATATCACATATGGGACTATGATTGTTCAGAAAGAAAGGAATGGAATCGTCTGTAATAAGTCCAGAGGTAACTGAGCCTATCTCCTCGAGTGTCAAGTTCTTTTTAATATTTAATCTACCCTTTTTCGTTTTTGCTTTGACAAGCCTCAAGCGCATAGACAGAGCCCTTGAGAAGTCTATCTCATGCGATGATGTAGAGCTGTCTGTCCAGCTTCGCTCTGCACTTCGGACGGTAGACGACTGCCTAGTAATTCTTGGCTGTTGTTCTAAACTATGGAGGGCAGGAAACAACGTGGGCTTTATGGTATAGATGGGAGTGTGGCCTCCCTCGAACTGGTCATCTGGCGAACAACTATGCGAGACACTAGGGTGGTCTGTAATACTTAATTTTGCAAATTCTTCGGCAAGTTCGCTGTTGATGTATTCGGATATGTCTTGCATCTTCGAGACAATACACGGAATCGTATATTGTGCATCAGCATGCTTGGTTTTGAGAGATAGAGGCTTGTGGGTTCCATGGCAAGTCGTAAATACTGGATCATTCGGTTTGAACAGGGCCTAGAGCAGATCGTATGTGATCTTACCGTTCTCTAGAAGCGACGTAAGGTTCCACAGAGAACCTCTTACTGTACATGTCAAGATTTAAATTTACTAAATCCAGACTCATTAAGAGTCTATCGCTCGTAAACACTCGTAAATCATCCTCTTGCAGGGCGACTTCTCTGCTAGGGGACCATCTCGAGAATGCTCGAGTCATCTAGAACACTGTCGTCATAGGCCTTGGATAGCAAATCGATTATGAACGAGAGGATGTAGAGAGTGAAAATAAAGGCTATTACTGTTTATAAATTAGCACAATTCTCCTCTTTGTCATTTCATGAATGCATTTGATCAATGGACCGCGAAGATAATATAGACTGGCAGGACATACTCCATTCCAATACTACGGCTACATCCTTCTAGGCCGTGTGTATAGTAGACAGAAACCCTATCGTAAGGGTTATTTTAGTCAGGATAAAGGCTAGCTTGATCTAGAAGCTGATACGCAAGATACGGTGTTAAGGGTAATGAGCTCCTAGCCGCTAGTATACCGCGCAGATGAATATCGCGTTAAGAAGGTAGCCACTACTGATTTAATTACCACAAGTCAGCTGCTAGCAATTGCTTCCCCTTTCCTCTCTACTATGTTCCGGCACTCACATAAATAGAAATAGAAAAATATTGTGAACGGTTAGATATCTTACCGTGTCGAATATTAAAAGTAAAATCAAGCCTGCTGTCCCGCAGACAGCCGATATGGTCGACAATATCGACAAAGTCTTGTCTCTACGCTCTTTGTTTCGTGCCAAGTGACCCTTGTGCCGAAGCTAGTGTTTACACAGTGAGTTAAGATTAAACAAAATAGTTGTGATGATACTACTAGTCACGAATAATGGCTTAAGATTCTAGGCGCTAACGTCTGATATATAGCTATCTTAAAGGTCAGCTGGACGGCTCTTACATGTCGAGAAGGGGTCTTGGGATAAAACAAGATAGGTGGCTCGTTAGAATATTATATAACATACGTAATGCTTTGGTTTTGTGACATGCTGGGGTATTTTGGACGTCCATCAACCTGCCACTTGATTAGTATGCCTAGAAGCATAGCTACATAGAGCAGACTAACAGTTAGCTACTATTTAAAGTACAGAACCAAAATTTGAAATTGTAGAGTCGAAATACATCAATCGGATACGTACTAAACCAAACATATGCCGAAATCAAAGGGAGCAGCCAGTACGGCATAATAAACATCACAGTAGTCGCCAGAAATATTCACCGGTACAAAAGTTAGCGCTTCGTCGCTAGGCTGTACGGAGAGGCATAGCGCTCGAGTAGCTGGCCCGACTTCTTGAGCGTCAAAGATTGTGAAAAGGACGAGGCCTTCGATGCCAATCAGAGGTAGGTGTTCTGCGACTCGACGTTTCCAAGACAGAGTATCCTAACGAACTTCAGGACGAACTATAGCAGCAAAGCCGAACTTTGGAGAAGCTGAACAGTGGCAGGTCTTTTACTTTCATATGAATGTCGGAAATTCTCTTGAATAAGGTGTCAATACGTAAATCCAGGTAGAGAGTGGTAATTACCCACGACGCGAAAGGCGGAGGGATTGCGAAGCCTCGTCTTTCAGCCAAGCCGTGCCAAGAGAGGCGCAGGGCCTACGAATACAAGTACAAGAAGGATTTAACATAAAACAAGGACTCATTATTGGCAAATACCCTTGCGCAAACTGTGTTACGAAGTATTTGGCGTGGGAGCGAGTGGGTCACAGAAGTAAGTGCCTAGGCATATCGATTATGCTAAGTCAAGAGAATGATATCATCGCAGTGAGCCGATTTGATACCTATTGCCAGTGAAAGGTGGGCGGCTTATTCCGCGCCACCGGAAAACCACGGAGCAGCCCAACCACTTGTCAGAAGCCCAATTCTGCTGTCCTTACCGCCTCCACATCCTCTTCCACACTCAATTAGGTTATACACACCGTAGTTCCTTCCTACTGCCAACAGGTTATTTGCGGATGTCACGGGACCTCGTGAGCGAACGTCGGAACGTATTTACTTGGCCGCGCTCCCCTCAATTGAGCAATCGGCCATGGGCTTCGTCCGAAAATTCCCCGATAGACACCAAGTTAGGTTCATGATGGCCTGAGGCAGAAATGGCGGTGGAATGCTGTAGTGCATGTAAACTTCGCCCTGGATCGGACCATTTCGATCAAGTATGTGAATACGTTAACCGTGATGAACGAGGATGTTGAAAGAGAAGCATCTTCTTCCAACGATGCTAGATACCAGAGAGATGTGAGCCGGATCCCTAAAGGTTACCCAGCAGAGTACTAACCAGTCGAAGCAATTTTGGCTCTTGAGGTACTAAGTGTAGGAAATCCGTCCTCGCTTTCACGAACAATCACAAATGGCCATATCCGCTCGGCTCACAGCACTACATGGCATAGGCAGGTTCGATGCTAAAGCCATCCTTCAAATAAAGGTCCGCCAAGTAGTTAAAGAGCTGTTAAAGCGGATCTCCAGGTTGAAGAACGACAGACACCGGCTTCGAATGCGATCGCGGCGTTTGATGATGAGACTAAGCGAAACTATCTGTGCCTACCAGCGGTGGCAGGTTCGTGTATCGCAGAGTTGAATGTGCCAGATGGCGGTCGTCGAGTAGCCAGAGCTACTGGAGCGGAGCCGTGCGCTGCGACATGATGGACGCCGGTTTCAAAAGCGATCCCAGCATCTGCTCAGGAGGCTGATATAGAACACTAAGTGTGCTGAATAATGCTCGTATATTCCAGAGTCGAGATCGAAGAGAAGATATCTCGACAGAGTACACACATGTACGGGCGATCCCCAGTGTCTGAGCTTGGTTAGGGCGCGAAGATGGGCCAGAAAGCCTACCAGAACTTACGACAAAGTAGATGGCGCTTCAAGTGTTTTGCATGGAGGTAGGATTTCGTGCAATTAGAGCAAGGAAATTTCCCATCGATATCTTTGGCCGGGATTATTGTATTCTTAGAGGGAAGAAGATGGGACGCCCCTATCCTTGCCTTCCCGTCATTCTCTGCCCTATCGGTCGGGATTACGCAAGATGTTGGATTCATACACGAAGGTGTGTCGGTGAGGTTCGAAAAGTTATATCGAGATGGTTGGGACTGGGCGAGCGGCAAGGGCGCCCACACCGTAGCTGGTTTTGTCAAGCTCTGCCATGTTTGCCCAAACCCCAGAGGATTATTCCACAGCGGAGGTGCCGTTGAAGTGTAGAGATGCTGAGAACCCTCTGCATCGTAGTATTCAAGGATCGGAGGACATATGTGGTCAGTCGCGGGGGCGGTCGACAGAGGAAGGACGGCTGTAGGCTCACACGGTTCTGTCCGAAGCACACTTCTGTGGGATGAATTGTTCGTCATGCGTGGCTAACGGCATCTGAACCTCTGGAAACACCCGCTGTGCCAAGACGGCCCTGAGAACTTCGTTCTCGGCCTCCAATTCCTGGTTCTTCCTTGTCACCCCATTGATACTCTTCGACCTCTCCACCATTCCTTCCTCTAGTCCCATTACCTTCTTCTCCAAGGCCGCGATATGCTCCTTGTTCCTCTGTCTGATATTTTGCTGCGCTACTCGATCGTTTGCGCGCTTCCGGGTTAGTTGGGCCTTAGTCAAATGTGCCACTGACCGTTTGCGTGGTCGAGGTCCTGGAGATGTTGGCCATGGGCAGAGTGGATGGGATCACATGACACACCTTTCATCCTGAGCAGCTCCAATTCCATAACCACTGGACAAGTTGGACCCAGTGAATTCAACATGTTCTTTCTATCCAGCGTACTCCGGGTGCGAGGCGTCATGGCTTTGCGATGATGTTGAGGGTATGTTGGCCGGAGCGGGACCGTGGAGCTCACATTAATAGAGCACCACCCCGTAACGCGACGAACTCGTCGGCGATGTAGACAGGTCATTAGCGCGGATATTCAATGCTAATATCGCTACCGGCATCTCCCTGTACAACACTGCGACGGAACAACATCCGTAACCATTAAAGTGAGCCGCGGTAGCCTTTCAGCTGGTCAGGGGAAGAATCAGATTGCGATGTGATACATCAATACTTAAATACCCGCAAAGCGATTTCATAGGCCAGTGCGCTATAAAGTTCATTGGTGCTGAACTATTGTCATTCCATTAAAATAAAATAAAAAGCAAGTGGGCCCGCATAATCACTACGTTTGCACCAGTCGGGGAAGATGAATGTGCATAGATAGTGAGGACAGACCGTGGTGGAATAGATATAATACAATGTGGAATAAAATTGGCGGTGAGGGGCTGGGGAAAGGCCGCCGAGGATCAATTCGGAAAAGCCGGGGAAGTTTCCGCTTGGGTGGAAGAGGAGAGAGATCAACAAGACAATCGCTCGGACATGCCCTGCTGAAGTTGGAACATTAGTAGCGTGTCTCTACGAAACTCCTTATATTTTGAACGGGACCCCCACGCTTATGAGATATAGGGATACAACCATATGGCCAGTTTTGCACAAGGCACGACTGCCCACAAACATTGTAGCCACCACACTGCTGTTTGATGATTCCCCTCGAGGTCTATTTTAACCATGGCAGAGATTCACCCTGACCCCTTTGCCACTAATCAGTGGATATTTGGGGTCGATGAAAAAGCCGACCCTTCGTCCCGTGGCGTCACACAAGAAGAATTGCAACAGAACCAACACTGGAATCCAGCTGTACCAGCCAGATCAGCGGAGGAGGATCATGATGCTGATCCAACAAGTGGTGGCTCTCCAAGCAGTCCCATTGACCTACTAGCCGCCGGGTCGGGGATGGAGATTGACTCTGTGGTAAATTGAAGTCCAAATCAATTTAGCTCCGACTTGAGGGAGAGCTGAAATTATTATCAGTCCTCACGTGGCGATGCCGATTCTACCCTCGGCTTAGAAACTGGGTGAGTTTCCATGTCTGGAATGAGTCCTCTGAGGACCCAACTAATCTGTGCTCCTCTTCCAGGAGCTCTACAGTCTCGCTCCGGGAGAGCGACTTCAAATATGTGGAGGAGAATGGTCGGACGTATCATTCTTTCAATGCAGGGAGTGAGTTACCTGATTTCTGCTACCGGTAATCCCGTTGCTATCCTACACTGTCTTTACTGAATGGCCCTAGAGTATGCGTTACCAAACGATGAAGATGAGCAGGAACGATTAGGTACGGGCAGGAATGGCGTGCTGTTGTCCACAAGCTGATACTGCGGCTAGATCTCCAGCATCACCTGTTCCTGTTGACATTAAACGGCTTGCACATCGCTCCTCTCCCACCCTCCATTCATAATGTGCTTGATATAGGGACAGGGACTGGACTCTGGGCGATTGAATTCGGTGCGAAATCTTCGTGTCCCTCGGTAAAAGAGCTAACCGTGACTTCCAAAGCACAGGAATACCCCATGGCACATGTGATAGGGTCCGATCTGAGCCCTATCCAGCCACAGTAGTAGGTTCTAGCCACTCCTATCTACTAGCACCAGACTAACACCCTCCAGCGTACCACCAAACTGCGCCTTTGAAATCTCCGATGCCGAGGAGCCTTGGACGTACCGCCAAAAATTCGACTACATCCACGGCCGGGACCTGGTCTTCTGCTTCCGCGACCCATCTCAGATCATCGTCGAAGCCTACAATGCGCTGAGCCCTGGAGGCATCCTTGAGATGCAGGACCCACAGATGCCTATCACCTGCGTCGACAACTCGATGGACTGGGGCCCGCTGGCGAAGTGGACAGCGGAGGTGTGTTGCGCGGCTGAGCGGCTTGGTCGCCCACTGACGAACTCGCGGCACTATGGGCGGTGGATGCAGGAGGCGGGGTTTCTCGACGTTGCCGAGCGGCACTTCTATTGGTCGCTTAACACTTGGCCGTGGAGTAGGAAGCAGAAGCTGATAGGGTGGTTGGCGCAGCAAAACCTGGTAGTTGGGGTGGAGGCCATGAGCATGGCGCTTCTGACGCGAGGGTTGAAGTGGTCGAGAGAGGAGGTTGAGGTGTTACTGGCGGGAGTTAGACATGATTTGAAGAATCGAGCTGTGCATTCTTATGTAGATGTGTAAGTCGTCATTGTCGGGCTACCTGTCCTCTGATCCGTTGCTGACTTGGTACGCAGAGTGGTATTCTATGGCCGTAAGCCTGGACCAACCTGTGACACTAGCCTTGGGTAACTCAGTATCAGCACCTGATTATCCGGCAATCGCACTGGCTTAGAGGAAATAAGATGGTTTCCTACCGACTGACTACGGAGCAATATGCGTCTTCTGTGGGGTTTGATGACCAGGCATGGATTTAAACTCATGTTAATCGTATCCCCGGCATCTAGTTCGACACTCGTAACTCGGCGTGGGATTGGCGGTTGCGTAGAAACTGATCAGGCATTCATTCACGCCAAGGTATAACTACAACCGACAAAGATCATGAGGATAATTCCCATGGGGAGTTGCATCGGGCGCATGGAACGAGAAGCGTCCGCTTGAATGCTCATCTGGATTTGAACTTGCCGCTAGTCGAACTTGACTCTATATTGATGTACCCTTACAGAGAGATACGAGAGGTGTAAGAGGTGTATAAGATGTGAGAGGTACGAGAGTCTGTATCGCTGTTCTACCTAAGTATGGCTTCACTAAAGGAGAAATTGGGTTCCCAACCTTCACTTGAGGGTCCTCCGCCTCCGATCGTTCATATTTCCCGTGAAGTACGACGATCTGACAAAGTCAACGAAGCCTATAGCCAGGCATTGGACGACCATGGCCCGGTCGTCGTTGTCCCTCGACATGGGCGTAACGAATATGTTATCGACCACCGATACGCCCACGAGATTCTCACAGACTCCAAGAATTTCACCTTCGAGAAGGCCGCGGTCGAATTGCTCCATTTGGGCTTTATAGGATCTTTGACAACGGCAACTTTGTTCACGACGTCAATAGCCTAGTCGAAAACGGCGTGCAGCCGCGGATGAACGCCATCATAGAGCAGGTCGTCCCTGTCTTCCAGGGTTATTTTGACCAGATGAGTAGCGAGTTACTAAACCCATCCGACGACAAGACGCAAGTCGAATTCACAGACATCTTTGCTCGCATCCAGCTAGCTGTGGCTCACGCCATGGTAGTTATGATTATGGGACCCGCACACGCGTCCTCAGTCACCATAGGCCATTTCGCTGCTGTGGCCGTCGCTATGGCAAGCATGACCGGCATGCACGAGAACACGTATGAGTGGGTTTGGGCGCCGTCGCTGTGGGTGTTGCTCAATGGCCTCCGCGCCGTATTCTTAACCATAATCCCCCGATTCTTCATCCGCATCGTCCCTACGCTCTGGAGAACTCGGCATCAGCACCTGGCGAGCGGCCTTGCTGCAAGCCACGGCGACTTCGTCCCGCTGTTCGACACCCTGCTGGTGAAGAACTACCACGGCAAGACCGGGTTCAGAGCGCTGGCTGGATTTGGCTGGTGTGTCACTATCTGCGTGGGCGTGATCTTTGCCTCCGTCCATCAGACCGTCGTTGCCGGCTTCTGGGTGCTGATCAAGCTGGCGCAGAAACAGGGCGAGTACCTGCCGGCCATCCGTGCGGAATGGGAGTCTGTTGCCCCTGCGCATGAGATGATGAGCGTGAAGAAGCTTAGCCAGCTCACTCTGCTGGACTCGTTCATCCGCGAAGTCCTGCGGACTAAGGGAGACTCCTGGGGACCCGTCCGCAGACAACTAGGCCTGTACGTATCGGACCGTACGTGCTTCCTAAGGACGCCATGTGCATTGTGCTCATATCACGAGCCCACTAGCACCCGGACAACTATGGCTCAGTTGGCACCGTCTTTGACGGCTTCTAGTGGCAGAAGAAGAGGCGACCAGCCGTCCAGGGCAGTGCCGACTTCTTGACTTTCGGACTGGGACGATGGGCGTGCCCCGGCCGTCAGCTAGCGATTCACGAGATCAAGATCCTGCTCTACCTGTTCTTCTCCAAATTCGACATAACGCTCAAAGAAAACAGCTTCCGGGTGAAGAATACGATCAACACGACTTCGGTGGAGCCGGAAGCCTCCTTCATGCTGAGGAAAAGACAGGATGACAGTCGAGAAGTGCTGATTTAGAGCTGCGACGGAGTGCGCGCGAGTATGGACAGGCAGAATGAGTGAATCCAGCCCAATAAGAATCTCAGTTCAGTGATCAATGGTCTAGTACTGATCTCTTACAGTAGGTGGACAAAAGTCTACGGGCAACTAAACTACCCTACATTTTCAGGGTAATTGAACTCAATGAAATCAAGAGCCAATTGCCGGCATAGTAGAATTTTTTCTTCAACTTACTGGCATAGTAGAGCAGGTTTTGGAATTTACCGACATAGTAGAGCTCTACTACGCCAGTAAATATCCAAAGCATTTCCTAATTAGGCAACGACTCTATGATAGACAAACAACGTAATTGGTTTTAAATTAAGAGGTTTATAAATAAGCTAAGATAGTATATATTTATTATCTCCGTCTCCGTTCTCTACTGTCACGTCCTCGTACAGGCACTTTAACAACTATTGCCTCTTCCTCTTCCTCAGGATTACTGTCCTCTCCTAGAGCTAGAACTCCATTATCGTTCGATGTCCTACAGCTGCGTTTGTTATGGCCCTCCTGTCTACACCAAGAATTCGAACACTTCGTCTTTTTTTTCTGTTGCCTCTCTCGCTTGCGGACTCGTGTTGTCTTCGGACGACCTCGCTTTCTTGAAATAAGAGGCGGAAGGCAGCCAGGTCCCGGTTCAAGCTCTCGTACACTAACCGGATGCATTGAAGAATAACTGCCTAGCTGTACGCGGAGTAATTAAATCGGGGCGTCCAGTGCGTGGTCGAGAAATGCAGGAGGTCTGATTTGACGCGTTTAGGAAGATTTGACGGCATGTAGGGCTTTCGCGCCTTACAATGTCAGCATATTTAATCCCATAATCATGAGCAGCAACTACTCGACTCCTTGAATTAGGGGATACCTCACATAGAGGTAATCTAGGGGTATTAGGTGGTCGAGGCATGGTGTTGTGGAAGGGTGGTTGGGGGAAATCACGAAAAATCGCGATTTAAGCGATTTCCGCGTAGACTTTAGATAATATGACTTAGTGTCTGGGCTGTGCAACACTCGCTGCTTCACTTTAGACTCTTGGATTCGATCATCTGATTCTAGTGGACAAAATACTGATTTTTGAGACTCTAAGAACGAAAGCCGGCTGTTTTAGTAAGGGTTTTCATGTATCATTTCAAAGAGGTTTAAGAAAACACACTAGTCGACATCGTCGCGCCATTTTGACAGGGAGCAGGGGATCTCAGGATGTCGGAGGAGCAGAAAACGCAAATGATTTAAAGAGTCTCGAACCTGGTTGACCTCACGGCCACTAAGTAGTTAATAGTAGACCATCTTCAGACAAGTCCTATAGCCGAGATCGTCGCATTCAGTCATGGTTGCACGAAGATCAGAACGGTGATATGGCTAATTGTGCGACAGATCTCATTGCCTGAACAAATATTGCACGACTGAGACTTCGGTCATGCCGTGTAACATGAGCTATGCATTGTAAACATTGTCCAATATTACTCGTCAGGTCTGACCAATGTGTGATATGCGTACCTTCAATTGGCTGAGGATTATCCGTGCGGTGTTGCTATTGCCAAAAGTGTTTGCAAACTTTAGCGGATTTCCAGACCCTTCTCCGGATATCATAGATACAGTGGGGGTCCAAAAGTCTGGCCACACTTACGCGAGCCCTGAATTAAGAACTGTATTCAACTATATTAAAACCTTTATATCTCCACCAATATCTAAGTAAAACTAGTAATTAATATATGAAATGAAAGCCCTCCTTTACCTCTTTAACATTTCGTATACCAGCCCTTTGCCTTGCGTACAGCCTCCATTCGGTTCCGTAATGAGTAAATAAGGTCTCGAATCTCGTTCTGATCTAGACTCCTCCATGCATCACGAATCATATCCTTAAACCGTTGTATATCCAGCTGATTAGCCTTCAAATACACTAATTCAGGGTATAACTTAAAGAGGGCCTCCTTAAGCAACTTCCAAACGCATTTTCGGGATCTTGTCGGTCTGGCACTCCATCTGCTTGTTCGAAATCCGTATTGGGCTCGGCTATGGATAATTCAGGAGCTAGCCGTAAGCCCGAACAGTTCGACAATCCACTGGGGCGATTCAACGGTGTCCCTTGAAATAGTCCTAACTCTCGCTGATATCTTTTGCAACAAGGTTTTGGACGATGACACTTCGAGTCCACACTTAGTGACCGGACTTTCACCGCACCTGCAGCTACTGAACACAATTAGGGGTTGGCAGAGATCTGGGTGCTTGTCCGATAAAAAAGATGGGCTGAAGAATGCAGAATTAGACGACTTGTGCCGCTTGGCCGGGTATGCACAGTGCAGTCTCCCCCAGGACAGGGTATTTGCATTCCTCGGCCTATTGCCTCAAGCCGTATCGCGCCATATCACGATCAATTATAGGCGAAATGAGACAGAACTTTCGTCTGAATTCGTAGCTGTGGTTTCCGTCGCAGGTGATGATTGCGGGAAACGGTAGAATGACGAAAGCCCCCATTCGCCGCTGTAATGAGATGGATATATAAGTGGTGGGTGATATGAGAATCCCTCTGGGAGAAAAATATAGGCTGTAGTACTTTTTATTGCAAAGCTAGCGCCCTATGGAAGTCTCAATAAATCTGCAAGGCGTTTAATGGTGTTGCACGCTGTAAATATATAGCTTTCTAACAAAATGTTTTCTTACCATACCGTCGCTGATGGCAGCTTCCGCGGTCGCCCTCGCGGCCTCTTCTGCTGTTGGCCCGCAGGCACACCAGCACCCCTCACTGCTCGACTGTCTTGCTTCAAGGCTGGCCGTCGTCCCCTCCGCTTCCCGTTCGTCCCGCACGCCCGAGCTCGTGCTTTACGAGCCTCATACTCAGCTAGCACCTCTATATTTCGTACCGAAGACTTTGGTATTAATGACGAACACCATTCCACCTCGTAATACGACACGCCACCGACAACCTCCTCACCAAGGACCCTGCGATACTCCCATTCTTGGCCAATATCCACGAACTGTGGACATATCTTAGGTACTCCTATGGCAGAATCATGCATGGTAAGAGTGGGTACATCAGTGTCGCTAGCCGTATGATCAGAGAGATTTTCGAGCCCATCGACGTTGTCGACGTCCGAGATTACTGAGGAAGAGGGTTCATTATTCTCGGTCACGGCTGTATTGACCACCCTCGAAGAAATTTTCTGCCGCTTTAGTGGGGTAGTGCCGTCTCGCGACTCATCAGAATCGCTCCTCTCGAGCTCCCTCATATTGCGTTGCCCTTCCCCGTCACGAGAATGTGGCGGTGTGCTAAGGCCGAGGCTAGAAATATTGCAAAGGGAGGCAAACCTGACCCGTTTGGCACGGCCTGCAAAGGACCTAGTATCCGTGGCATTGATGATATTGCAAGGCTCGTCGATGGGTCCATCAGGTGCCGAAGGTGCTTCCACATCCAACTGGACATGATCAGACCGTTCATCGCTTTGAGTACAAGGAGAATTTGTTGTATAAAGATCTTCGCCGAGGTCCAACTTGCTGCCATCTATCTCGATCGGTTCATCTGCGGTATTTATCAGCAAAAGCGGTGCATCTGAGAGCTCGGCATAGGCGCGTACCACTGCTGCTTCCGGCTCTGGATTCTTGAGAACCAAAGGAATCATTCTTTAGAACCTGCTTAGCGTTTTCTTCAGCGCTGTATTTCGCGTCCGGTCCGTCGGGTGACTTTTGTTTGGATTTCTCAAGCAATCGGCTTACAGGACGGAGGTCATCGTCACTGTCATCGTCACTGTCATCATCAGGATCGTCTCTGGTGGTGATCCGGCCTGAAATTTGTCAGAAAATACGGTGCAGCCGAGAAAATATCCAGTACACACCTGGGGCTTGTCTGTTAGATGTAGGACTTCCGCCACCTTGTGTGCCATGGATATGTGCGGTTTCAATATCATCGAGATCTAACTTGCCAGTTAATTCGATCGATTCATCTGCGATATATTTAGCAAGAACTTCAGTGTACTCTATAAATTCAGTACGCCTACCACTACTGCTTGCAGGTATCGATCCTTGAGATCTCTCTTCTGGTAACTTTCGTAGGAATCTAGCTCGGTGCCGTTTTATGAGCTCGGCGCCCTCTCTTTCAGTGATTTCATCTGTACGGTCAGAAAGGACCGTGGCATGAAGGAGTAGGACTAAACACACCTTGTACTGTTTTTGGGTCAAACAGAGGATTCTCTCCAAACATAAGCCCGCTAACTGTAGTAGGCTTCTTATGCCGCTCACTGTCTTCTACTGCCTTCGCCGACACTGGGAACGGCTTGGCAGACTCTTTTCCAGAGTTACTCCAGGAGGGTTTTGCAGGAAGTTTGTGCGTGATGCCAGTAGTTGCTTTGGGAGTATACTGAACAACTGTAAGGGTAGACATATTGGAAAACATGGTAGACTTCTCCGACTCTGCCAGATAAAGAGTGTACAATGCGACGGTTGAGGACCTCTGGAAAAGGAGGCTGTCGGGGATTTATATCTCTGCTCCAACCTACACTTCGTCCTTCCGCTTGGCCGACATTTCCGTCTTTCGCTACAAACGCCCCTCACTGTGACATTTCGTGCCTCGTATCCGAAATCTCGACGCAGTTACGTACTAACATGCAAGATTCGCCCCGCCTACTGCTGAACGGCAGGATTCTCAGCTGACCAGGATTTCCGCTCCCAGGGTTCAACGCTTCGCGACCACCGTAAGAGGAAGTTATACCATCTCAGTTGTTGGATTCTCCACCAGACACGATATCTTGAGTGGGTATGAGGCCAGGAGATCATGGTTGCTTCCTCAACCCGTACACTGGGTCCGTAGGCTCCTACGCCGAGCTCTCGTATCTAGACGAATCATGATCGCAAGGCGCTTTCGATGGCTAGATCGTGAGATTAGATGCTCCGCAGCCCAGAGGGGATTCGTAACCAAGCTCAGCCCCTTCACATGCATCTCAGGTTGTATGATCGACCAAACGAAACCGACAAGAGTACTCGAGGCCGAGAATTCGCGCAGCAGCCCGGTCTGGCCACGCCGCTCCTGCCTAACGAGGCAATCGAGCAGGTAATTCGGCCGTATCATCGGCCTGACGGCAGCAACGATTTCTCCTCGTATACCCAAAATAAGAGGAGACTGGGAGATAGATCTGCATGTGAAGTAGTCAGGTGGTGAGAAATAATGAACTGCGACCTTCCAGAGCAAGCTAGCCACGTCGCTTGCGGATCTAGAACTCGTTCACATGGTCGTCCGTAACGTACCGCCGTGTCATCGGGGAACTTGGCGCCCCGCAGCAGCCCCTCAATATTCCAAATCACCACGCGTACCGGTTCTGCCTGGAAGTCCCATGAGAAGCTTCGCTGGGACTCGAGCGCGGAAACGATGACCTCTCCAGTAAAGCTCAGGAGAGGTTGATTAGCTTGTTGCGAGGCCATTGCGAGCAGACCAAATGAAAGGCGCCATCGGATTGAACTTCGGCATCTCGGTGGCGAGCTGCGGAGCTCTCATCGCCGCAAATGGACGACGCAGATTTTCTTAGCTGTGCTAGGTTGGCCGTTAGCACGAGGCAGAATTTTGGGACTCGGAAAGGATGTGGAGGGACAACGAGTCTCACCAAGGGGAATGAGCAAATCGGAAGCGCGGTTCGACGCCGGCGAGGCATATTGGAGGAGTGATGCACGCATTAGCGTCGGATTCCGGAGCGGCCGAGATGAGGGCGTGACGAGGGGGGAGGGGGCACGGCCGGGTGAACGGCAAGCGAGGAGTTGAGCGGTCGAGAGTTGGGAAAGAGTTAGAGGAAGGAAGATGAGGTCGAGGTGGAAGCGGCGCTGGATTTATACTCGAGGTCGGGCGGCGCGCTTACCTTAGCGCGTTGCGGCCTGGCGTGCCAAGGCGGTAAGAGCGGCGGGGCGCAGATTTCCGCATCCGGGGGCGCAGCTTCCCGAAGCAGAATCACCGACACGAATTTTATTAAGCTAATAAGAAAAATCTTTTATAAAGGTCCTTAAAACTACTACTTTTTAATTTTAAAGTACTTAATCTTAATTTCTTTAGTTATAAGAAGGTAAGCTTATAGTTAAGTATAATTATATACTCTAAAGTTAGAATAATTTAGATTTACAAATAACCTTAAAAAAGGTATATTAATATAAATAAGTATTACTTATAATAGATAGGTCTATAGCTATACTATAGTAGTAAATAGTTAAAAGAAGGTAGAATTACGTACTTATATATCCTTTCTTAATATAGAAATAATTTGTTAGAAGTAATAGTAAGGTATATTAAACTAGGGTTTAATTAGTAGTATCTTACTCTACGCCTATAGCCTATGTATTCTTACGACCTGTTACTATTTCCTATACGCCTCTTTTAATCTAATGTAGACTTATTAGTCGATATATACTAGTAAGGTTCTTCTTTACTTACTAATACCTGTTTAACCTAAGAGGGCAAGAGAAAACTCTACTATAAAGTAAGGTAACGTACCCTTAACTACGTGCTTAGTACTAGCCCTCTACCTTATTCTAACCTATTATACAAATTCTAGGATACTTCCCTTAACCCTTAACGATTACGTACTTAGTACTAACCTATACTAGGTTCTAACCCTATACAAAGTCTAGTATATAACCCTTACCCTAATAATACTCTATATAAAGTATATCTCTCTTACCCCTTATTAACAGGCTCTTACTAAGTCAGGGAGTTAAGTAAACCCTCTTAATAGCTAGCTGCCAAGTAGTTAGGCCTATATAAGATTAGGTTTAGCCCTTAGAAGGTATTAATAGTAAGATAACCCCCTAGCCTTTACCTAATACTATTAGAAACGCCGTATTTAAGAGAGTGTACTATAGATTAGAGAGTAAGAAAAGAAGATAAGGACAAGGTTAGGTTAAGTAAGGGCTAAGGTCGCCTAAGGCTAGGTCGCCTAAAGCTAGGTCGTCTAAGAGGACAAGGAAAGGGTAATCTAAGAGGCCCTTAAGAGTCGTAATAGTTAACTAACTTAAGCTTAAGAGTATTAGGGTAAAGGCCGGGTTATTATTTACGTCTACCTAGTCTAGAGTAAAGGGCTATAGTTTAGGAGACGCCTTATGTACTAGCGCTTTAAGAAGGCAGGTAGAGATAATAGACTAAGGCAGGCGCTTAAGGGTAAGTAGTAGAGAAAAGGCGCCTCTCTTTCTAACTATAGTATAGATAAAGAGAGTAAGAGCTAAGACAAGTACCTAAAGCTAGTAATTTACGTAAGCCTACTTAAGAGTAGTTCTTAGGTTCTAGTACGTAATCTTATAAAGCTAGCTATAAGTCGTAAGTAAGATTAAGGTAAGGATGCCTATACTAAACTAAGAGCCTAGAGTATAGAAGGCGTACTTAGTATAAAGGGCGTAGCTAAACATCTTATACTTGTACGATATAAGAAGGTTAGAGTTAGGCTAGTATAGCTAAGAGATTATAAGCTTAAACTACTTAAGCTAAGTATAACGATATAACGTCTATCTAATAAGGTTATATATAGTTTCTAAGAAGTAAGAGACCTTAGGGTTTAGAAGATAGCTAACATAGTAGTACGTAAAGACTAGGTAAAACTTAACGTACATAGCCTAGGTTAAGAGGGCGTAGTAGGCCTCCTTCTCTTTAGTAGCCTAAACCTAGGCGTAAAAAGAGAGAAGGCTAGGCTCTTAGTAGACCTTAAGGTCCTAGCCTTCCTTAAGGGGCACGACAAGAGACTACTAGTAGGTATAGGTAGTATAAAAGAAGTTAAGAGAGTACTAAAAGTAGCTAAGCTTGTCTTTAGTAAACTAACTATAAGAATATAGTATAGGTTAGAGGTACTAGCTCTTGTCGACTATAAGAGGGCAAGGCCTATACTCCTTAGAGAAGGTAGACAAGATAACGTTAGGGTTAGGATAAGGGCGTTTTAATAAGTAGAGAGTAAGGTTTAAGCTTAGGGCGCGCTTTAGGGCGTAAGTCTAGATAGTGACGCTACTATTACTCTAGAGGGTATTAAGAAGGGCGTCTTGTTTCTAGTTATAATCGATTAGAAACTAACACTATATTATAGCCTAGCTCTATAAGGAAAGGTAAGGAGGCGTACTAAGGGTAGAAGAGGTAGAGAGAGAGGGGTCTTAGGTAAGACAAGAAGAAAGGTAGTAGTAGGCGTCCTTAATAAGAGTAAGGGTAGTAAGTAAAGAAGAGAAGAGAGGGAGCCGCTAAGTATAGTAAAGAGTAAGATTAACGACATTAGAGCTAGATAAGAGAAAGGTAAAAGAGAGAGACTAGTAAAGAGAGTAAGGGGCGTAAAGTAAAAGAGTAAGAGAGGGGCTTAAGTTAGGGACGCTAAGAAAAGAAGAGAGAGAGCGGCTTAAGGTAGTAACATAAGAGGCTATAAGGCTAGAGGCTAGGACAGTAACGTATAAGAAAGAGGTAGTACTAGGCTACTAGAAGGACTAACCCTTAGAGGCCCTTTACTAAGAGGCGGTAGTAGCCTAGGCTATAGTCTCGACCTTATGATAGAGGTTAGCAAAGCTAAAGATAATATAGACACTAGCTATTAGGTTATTAAGTAGCGTAGACTTAAGATAAGTAACCCTATATTTAAGAAGGTAGTACTATAGCTTGTCTTATTATCCGGGTACGACTTTGTCTAGAGTCTTAAGAATAGTAGGTATAGTAAGAGACAAGAGAGGCGTAAAAGGTAAGGTAAGAAAGTATAAGAGAAAAAGAAGAGAAAAAGAAAGAAAAGAAGAAAAGAGTATAGAGTAAGAGACAACTTAAGAGTAGAAGTAAGGGATTTATAAGAGAGGGTAATAGAGCCGTATAACAAGAGAGGAGTTTAAAGAGAGAGAAAGAGAGAGTAAACCTAGTAAAAAAGGTAGGTAAGAACGTAAAGCGTTCTTAGCCTAGCCTATAAGAGACACTTAGGTACAAGACATATAAAGGACGTATAGCCTAGGTATAAGGTAAGAAAGAAGATTAAGATAGAGATTAGTAATAGTAAGTAGCCTAAAAAGACTAGCTAAGTAAAGGACAAGTAATAAGTAAGAAGAGGGATGTACCTAAAAGGTCTAGAGTATAGATATACTTGATTCTAGTAGGCGTAGGTTAAGAAAGAAAAAAGACAAGAGAGAGAGACTAGTAAGAGAGACTTAGGCTTTAGAGCTATAACGTAGGATACGTATAAGGACAGGCTAGTAAAAGGTAAACGTAAGAGATAAGGGTATAGACTAAAGAGGACGGCATAAACGCGTACTATAAAAGGAGTATATAGCTAAGGTATATAAAGGATAAGAGGCTAGTAAAGGACAGACTAGTAGTAGGCAAAAGGTAAGGAAGGCTGTCTTAATACTAGCTAAGAGAAGAGATAAAGATTAGAGGCATAAGGTCTATAGTAAGAGTAGTAAGGTAAGATAAGTATACTTATCTTAGGATATTAAGTACACGACAAAGCGTTAGATCTAGATATAGATCGCTAGAGTCTAGAAGACCTACTAAAGAGCTAGTAAGGGTTAGATAGGCAGTAAATAAGAAGGGAGGATATAGTACTTACACTACTTAAGAAAAGTAAGTATAAGTAACTAATAAAAAGTAAGGTAAAGCGTATAAAAGATTAGAAGTAAGGTAAAAATCTATAAGGATTTTAAGTATAAAGTACTATAACTAGCTAGAGGTAAGGCTAAAATAAGCGCTTAAAGAGTAACGTAACTAATAAAAAGTAAGGCTAAGGCGTATAAAGGATTAGAAGTAAGGTAAAAATTTATAAGGATTTTAGGTATAAAGAAAGGTAACTAATAAGAAGTAAGGCTAAAGTATAGTGATTTTAAGTATAGAGTACTATAACTAGCTAGAGGTAAGGCTATAATTAGTACTTATAAAGTAACATAACTAATAAAAAGTAAGGTAAAGAGTATAGAGGATTAGAAGTAAGGTAAAAATCTATAAGGATTTTAGGTATAAGGAACGTAACTAATAAAAAGTAAGGTAAAGTACGTAAAGGATTAGAAGTAAGGCAAAAATCTATAGAGATTTTAGGTATAGAGTAACGTAACTAATAAGAATTAAGGCTAAAGCGTAGTAATTTTAAGGTAGGTTATAAGTATAGAGTAAAGGAAGTAAGGTAAAAATCCGTAAGGATTTTAGGTATAGAGTAAGGTAACTAATTAGAGGTAAGGCTATAATAAGCGCTTAAGAGTAAGATAAAAAAGTAGAGAGATCGTTAGTGTAGTATATAAGAAGTAAGGTAAAAAAGCGTAAGGATATTAGGTATAAAGTAGCCCTAGATTAGAGGTAAGGGCCTGTACGTACTTATAACAAGTAGTAGGCGTAAGTATAAGGTAACTAGAGAGAGAGTAATAAATAAAGAAGGAGAGAAAAGGAAGAGACAGGCCTTACTAAGAAAAGTAAGATAAAAGATAAGAGATAAGATAAACGTAAGTAC